GGTGCCATGTTGGTCGCCTTAAATTTCCAACCTTCAAAGACAGCAGACAATATTTGCCGTATATTGCATCCATATATCATTACATTTGTTTTTTTGTTTTTTTTTTTACCAATTGTGCTCATTGGAGCGCGAATATGGGGTGCACAAGTGTATACGTGTGTGTGTGTGTGAGAGAGAGAGAGGGTATTATTCGTTGTACTTTATTGCATACCACACAGACGACGAACGTGCAGGGTGCTGCAAATACTTGTGTCTTTTTCTTTAGAATTTTGCATATGCACCCTTTTTTCCATAGAATTTTCGCAATATTATTTGCTCGAATTAACTGGAATATGTTTTTTAATCTACGAATTCTTAAAGACAAGAGCTTGAGCTATGCTTAATATTATTTACTTGAATTAATTGGCATAAGTGGTTTAATCTGGGAGCTCTAGAAGACAACAGTTTGGCTTTGCTTGATATGTTTAATATATAAATATTGTGCGACCTGTTGTCAAGTTATTCCTTCAATTTCATTAAAAATCATAGGCGATATTTTTATTAAAATAATAAGAACTAACTAAAATGACATCATTGAATATTCAAATTTGCTTTAAATTCGACCTTTATTAAATATTCATAAAAATGAACAAACAATTTAAATAAACTTTGTCCAGCAAGTTCCTTAAAACTTTAAATTTTTCAAAAAACGTGCACAAAAAACGTTTATTATCCATTTTTGCAATCAAGACGATTTGTGTGGGCGACTTTGTGTGTGTTTTTTGCCCTTATTTGTTGTGGCATGCGTTGCATGCTTCATGTTGCAATTTTTTGCACATCTTTATGATATACATTTCGCCATTCGTTATATTTGATACAGCTTTTGCGTGTTGCTGCCATCTACAAATAAATTCATTTTCGTGCTTCGCTACCATTTGAAGTTTTTAATGCAACATTTTAATTTAGTTAAGCTTCTTTTTGAGTCCCTAATGTTTCTAAAAACTAAGTCAGTTCTAAACAAGTTCTAAACAAAATATTGTCTGCGGTTTTTATCAGACTATTGCACATACTGTTTATCCATCCCAAACACAGATACACACACACACACACACACACAGACAGCCACAAAAGCCCGAAACCGAATTTTGATTGATTGCTTAATTGCTGGCGTCTGTGGCCAGTGTGGCATTTGGCAGACGGGATTAGTTGTTGTTTTGCAGGAAATCCTTACCAAAATGTACGCTAGCCAAATTGAAATTTGTTCGCTCGCTTTGCATAACAGCTAAATCAGTTCCAATTAGCTGCAAGATACCAACAAATTGACACATGCATTTTTTATGAACGTGTTCCAAAACAAATTATAAAGCGCAGCGCTGCCCACACACACACGTGACAGAGCTAATGACTACCCACATGAAAGTGCCAATCTGTTTGCAAGTGTATCTAATGCATGGCTAAAAGCGTTGCGAAAATATTGTTGCATGTGTTGGAGCCAACAAAACTGTACAAATTTCGATAAGAAATACCTTTTTTATCTTGGTTAGACGCCGAATTGAATATGTACCCGAAAATTAGGCATTAGGCATAAAAATTAAATTGGGTTGTTTTCGGAAATAATTGACTATACCTATACCCACTCCCAAAAAGTGAAACGAGTTCCATTTGGGCATTAGCTATTTAATTTTTTGCTTTCGATAAAAGTTTGTTCATTTAAATTATGAAATATTTAGTTATTTTATTGCCAAAGCTCATACCAGATGCTTGGCTTATTGTCTTAATTAATTACAAAATTTGTTTAAATTTGTTTAAATATTTTATGTGTAGACTTTTATTAGCCAGGCATGACTGTGGCCAATTTTAGCGAGAATTAACTCGTGAAAGAACTGGAAGGCAAAATCTGTAGCATACTTTGCTGCGTTTGCATTTGGTATGCAAATTGATAATCGATTTCCAGGAAATTTGCATAGGATCCGACTTTGGCAGGACTCTGGTAATGGGTCTTTGTTAGCTGACAGGTGTTTGGTCCGTGTCAGTGTGCGTTAAAACCGTATGAGCCGGTCTGGGCCATGTGATTGAACTTTAATTGGCTGACTGTTAATTTGAATGGCATTACGATGGGCTCTTTAATCCACTTATGAGCACTTTATGAGCTTAGATGAAGCAAATCCTTAACCGCATAACCGCAACTCTGTTAACTTTTTACTTAAGCGTATGCAAAATATCTTAAGCAAAGTAGCTAAGTGCCTAAAATCCATTAACTCGGCGTGTTTTTCTTTGCTTCTTTTTGCCTTTTCCCGCTCTTTCAGGGAGTATCCGTGCGACCATTATACATCCGTTATAACCGTGACGCTGCTGATGACTGGCTGCCCCCGGGTGGAGGTGCATGCAACCGCCCTGCAGCTGCTGCAAATACTGGACAAGCGTTTCTTTGGCAGCGTCGTAGGCACCCTCCACAGCGACAACGAGAAAGGTATGAGCTATCCACCATAACTAACCCGACATTCAAGACAAGTTTAATAAACTTTAATGGGCATACATTTAAACGCTTTTCAGACTTGTCTGTATTTGTAACCTCTTGAAAGAAAAGTGTGTTTAAAAGCGACAAGCGCTTGAACTCAATAGAAACTTTATTTATATATATATACATATATATATATATATAAAATGCAAGCGATTAATATTTAATCGATAAATTTGCATTTTCTTTTTGAAAGTTGTTCATTTTACTTTGCTGTCTGCGGCAAAAAATTGCACAACATTTTTGGGCCGAAATCTTGTGTAATTCCTTATAATTCTAGCATCTTAAATTTTTTGTTTATTCTGTTTAAAGTTTTGCTCATGCATAAGAATTTTCCGTTGTGCATTGCAAACGCATTTATAACTTTTATGCCCGTGCATCTAAAACAAAAACCTCAAATAACATTGCTGTAACGACTACGCTATACTCTGTAATTACCAAATTACTCCATACTCTATAATTAACATATAATTGAGGCGAAAAGAATCGTTCTGATAATTGATTTGGTGGGTTCTCTCAGATTGTATCGAAGCAATCTCTTTCAAGCCTTAACTTCAGGTACTATATATATTTGCATAATCAACCTGTATGTAATTTGAGGAAGGAGTAAAGTTGGGTTTCTAGTCTATGCAATAAATGCAAATTAAGTTAATTTTAAGATATATGCTTAAGAATGCTGCCAGCCAAATAAAAATAATCGTTGATAGGGAGAATTATTTAAAAATGAATTATTTAATTCTTGCTTAAAGTTAATAATATTCTTGTATCTATAATATAGAAGCAGGTGTTGGCAATGGAATTACTTTTAAACAACAAAATTATTATTCGTCCGTTCTTCAAAGCATATACCTAACTTTCAGTTAACACAGGGCATCGCCAAGTCGCACACTTGTCAAATTGCCTTTGCATTGATTTTCATTTTCATTTGAATATTTCTCACAACTTATCATTTATTTCATTTATGTGCTCAGTTTCCAGAGTGTGCATAGCATTTGCCAACATATTTTCATTTTATCAGTAGTTTTCTGTAGCATATGTAGTCGTAGCTTATAATTTTTATATTCAATTGATGTAACACATTTGGTTTACTTTTTTAGTAATTGTTGGTCTTCTTATGTTGGTAGCTACTACTTCTTTCTTTCTTCTTTCATTATATAAGCAGCTTTCAAGTGAATTCCGAGCGCACATAAAATTATCTGCTTCACTTGCTTTTTGGTTGTGTGTGTGTGTGTGTGTGTGTGTGTGTGTGTGTGTGTGTTTGTGCGTGTGTGCGTGTATTGTGTGTCTGTGCCGATTTGATTGAATTGAATTTAATTTTCTGTATAAGCGCGGGGGAATTTCTGGCTCTGCATAATTTTACGGCAATTTGTTATGCATAATGTGCGCTGGGCCATTAATGTTAACATTCTGGTGAAATTGTTGGCCAACACTCGCAGCCAGCGAAATTTAAAGAAATGAAGACACAAAAGAGAGCGCTACTCGTGAGTCAACTAGCGAATACCCTGTACATGAGCATGAACACAAAATCGCCATAAGCTGCACTCTTGGGTCTGCTTTTGTGCTTCGTCTGACCTCAGTTCTGCCCTATTTAAAATTTATTCTTTAATAACCCATGTATAAGTATGGCTTGAAAACATCTGAGGCTGCGATTCGATATGAGAAACTACAAGAACTTATCGAAAAATCTGATATTCGACATGCTCTATTTAAGATTTGAAGTAAATCTATTGAGCCATTGTTGTATATCTGCAGATCGTATTATGGCATTGCATATCCTTCTTGTTCTTGTCGCATATGTTTTATCCAAACGAATATACCCACTTCAATGGACACAGGCTATAAGAATAATAAGTTCATATTAAGCACATTAATAAAATGGATTTTAATTTATATGCACATAGGACAGAACAGATTTAAGGAAATAAACGTTAATTCGCCAGGGTAATTAGCGGCAATTTGTAAACTTGGCTTCCGCCCCCAATTTTCCGCATGTTGCGCCGGAAATTTAAACATGTATATGCATGTATTTTTTGCTTGTTTTTATTCCGTTTTTTTTTTTTCCGAAAGTTTGATGTTTAAGTTGGCCAATTTGTAGCTCTGTGGCTTATAAGCCAGCTCCTGCATTGCACAAGCTATTTACTGACCTTTTTGCGCTGTGTACTAAGCAGCTTAAGTTTTGTTATTGTTATGACTGCCGGACCATTGAGGACCATTGACCAAATTGTCCAGGTAGCTAAGCGCTGTCGTCCAGCTAAGACGAGTGTAGCATGGTTTGGTTAATTTTACTTATTGAATAAATAAACCAAAATTATTAAATGCGTATTGAAGCTTGTAGAGGATTTCGCCAGTTGCATTTATATATATGTGAAGAGCTCGATTATGATTAGATAATACGATTAGATATTTGCTGGTTGCGTACAAAATCGTTTAAAATTTTGCATTCAATTCTACGAAAAGTGAAAGCGAAAGTTGTACAAAATCAATCAGAGAGCATTCAGTGAACATAATGAATATTTATTATTACATTTATAACATAGTTCGGATTTACAATAATTTCCGTTTGTGTTTAACATTTAACAAGTACATGCGGTCGACTAATGCAATTCATTTTCAATTTATGATAATTCAACTGAATTAGCGCGATCAAGCATCAAGCACTATTTAAGCATAATTAAAATTGATTTACACACAACATTTTTAAAAATACGCGTATTTTGTCTCTATTCAAGCTGACAAATTCTTTGCAAGTGTGGGAGAAAATTCGGTTTAGTGTGTTGATTAAGACATTTCTTTTTGTTTCGGTTTTTCTTTATTATAATTAAAGTATTTTTTTGGCTTTTGTTAAATTTTTTTTTTTAGCTGTCTTCTCAGCTTCTGCTAACTTCGCCTTTAAAACATTTTTTTTATCCCTACTTCGACTTGAACATCACAAACAATTCTTCTTTTAGCTTACTGAAATACGATATTGGATTCGCTTTTCCCATTTTTTTTTTCTTCTTGTAATTCGTATAATTAAAAAAAAAATTGAATTCCTTAGTGTACGCCGAATGCAATTTTCGCGCCAGCTTCCTTTACCTCAGTGGATGCAACTCGTGCATTTCATTCCAGCAATGCTGCGTCATCATGCGGCGCCTAGTCGAGGTGCCCGTGTTGCGGCAATACTCCGATACTTAAGAAAGAAACAAGAACAACAAGAAAAAGTAGTGAAATTCGTGTGAAGAAGTGCGGAAAAACAGTTGGCAAAGAGTGCCAAGTATAGAGGAGTTTAGAAATGATTGTGCTTTGAGGCGAAAACTCATTAAGTGGAGGCGTCGCTGTTGCCACTCAAGCGTTGTTTAAAACATTATTGACGTATCGACGTAATATGAGCCAAGTGTATGTGTGTCTGTGTGGATGTGGTTGTGATTGAAATGGTGCTATTTGTGCGTTGTTGTGGGGTATCATCACTTTTTAACTATGTTGGTTTCGTTCACAAATGTTTCAATCAATATGAATTGAGCTCTGTTCAATCGCAGCTAAATGTTATGTACTTTTAGCTATGCAAGGCATAACTTAAATCCAGCCAGCGTTTATTTTAAGCCAACATTTTGCTTGTAAACTTACCATGTAAATTCCATTTAACTGGCATTTACTATTTTAATGAATTTAGTTTTTATTCAATTATATGTTGACCAAATATTTTATGCCTTGCATATTTCATGCTGTTAGTTTATGTGTACTTGCTCTTTCGGTTCAGCTTTTGACCTTTAATTTTGTTTTATTTTCCGCTCGTTGTTTGCGTGGTCGGCAGTTGCGATTTCAATTTAGATTTGTATTTGCATTAGCTGCAAAGCGGGTCATAATTTGACCATTTTTTTTTGCGTTTGCCTTTGCTCGTGTGACCCTTACAGGGGATTTGTGACCCTATCAGCACAGCGCAGAGGTCGACCCACTAATTTTAGTCAATTTCGGACCGAGCTTTTATTTAATGCAGTTAAGCTCCTTTAAAATGTAGCATACATTTGGGCACCAGCTTAACTTTTGTCAGTTAACCCAAAAATTGCTTTATACAACAAACAAATTTACACAACTATTTAAAGATTAAATAAGAATTAATTATAAGTTAATTTTCAATAAATACTTGATTGCTGAAGGCATTTTGCTTTGAGCTAAGCGATTGCATTTTTTTGGTGAAAATATTTTTGGCATCATAATTTTTTAATAAATTATAAAATGCTTAAGCTAATTTGAAAATATTTTATTGTCTGTCATTGAGCGTAATATTTTAACGTCTGTCGCCTATCATTTTTTTTTATTTGGGCATATTGTATTTCTAGACAATCTCTGCCAATCAATCATGCACACGCTAGCCAACACACACACACACTTCCACACCTCCACACACGCACACACTTACTGAGTTGGTAAACAACTGCGAAATATTGAGCTGGGCGTTTTGTTGTTTAAATTTATATGTGTATAAAAATGTTCATATTTTTTAGCCTGCAATATGAATTTCTTATGCAAAGACTTTTAGGCGCGTGCTTCTGACGTCAAAAACAAAAGCCGTACTAAAAATGAAAATTGTCACCAGCAAATAATGTTGAATGATAAATTACGAGAACCAGATTCTTAAAGCTTCGCCAGCTGCTGCCTTCTTTAAATGAATTTATTATAAAGTTAATTATAAATTGTCTGCGATTTTAAAGTCAGTTTCAGTCCGGGTTTTTGCAAATGCGAAGTTGATTATCATAAATCAAATGGGCACTTGGCCTTCAAACCTTTTGGCAAACTTTCTATTTATATATTTGTGTAGAAGATTAATGACGACGCTTCCATTTGATTGTCCTTGATGCGTTGGCTTATTGTGCGGTCCCGGGTGAATTATTAACTAAATTATATGGCCAAATAACAAAGAACATGTTATGGCCTGGCCATTACATAAAAGTCAAACACTCAAAAGTCAGAGGGCATTCATATCTGTGTGCTAATGGAAATGTGCGGCATAAGTGCCACGCCCACAATTGGTCTAAGCCTAATTTATAAGCACAGCTATATGTATATATAGAGCATATATATATTTATGCTATTTTTGTTTGTCAGCTTTAATAGCTAAGCAGCCGGAAAGCCTCGAGGGTGTTGCAGTGATTGACGTGCCAGGCAGCATATTGCCGCCAGGATGCGCGTACGTTGAGTGCTCTCTGGGCGATGGCAATATTCAATGGGGGCCAATAGACAAAAAACCGTAATGAGCGGACGCGGTTTGAGTGCCTGTGAGCGCGTACATTGTATGCAGCGCACGTAACACAGGGCGTATGAGCAATACGCATTTAACAAAGAGTGTGTGTGATGTTTGCCTGCCTGTGCATGCATGCGTGTGTGTGTGTGTGTGTGTGTGTGTGTGTATGTGTGTGTGTGAAACTATAGCGATTGCTTTAGCCAATCAAAGTCGTGATTAACTACTGCTGCCCGGTTGAAATTTGCCGAGCAAACACTCATTAAATTGGTTACCACGCGCGCGCCCTTTTGTGCTGAGAAAATTAAAACGCTTCGGAAAATTCGGGGGATGTTTGTGAAATTTGAGCTATACGCAAACTGAATCGAAATTATAACTGCCAAGCTACGTTATTAAGTTCAAAGGGAAATTATGCAATTACTGCGTTGTCTCTATGCTTTTGTTGCAGCCATTTAGCAAAACTGTAGCCTATTGCACTCCTAAGCCTAAAAGCAGTTAATGAGTTATTCAATTAAGATATGTGATTCGATAGTCTGACAGTAGGTGAATGGGTTAATTAGAGGCTTGGCCTTTAGTACATATATGTAACACTTGCGTAAGAATCGTTTTCTTGTTTGTACATTAAAATGAAATTATACAAGAATACAACCTTGTTTTGTGCATTTAGCTTCAGCATTGATTTTATTACCTAAACTCGGTTCAGAAAGTGCAAACAATTATGTTTTATTTTCGACTTCATGCTGTTAAACCTATTAACGAAACTTTGAGCACGCGACGCACTTTTAATCAAATCCCAACTAATCTGCTTTCATTTGCTTTCAATACTTTTACCCACCGCGATTTATTAAAAGAAAAAAATCGGTCCAGAATTTGTATAGAATTGAAGTCCTTGAAGGTTCTGTGAAATTCTAATTCAATATTTGTGCTATAATTTACCATTGGGCAGCTACAGTAAATATCTGTCTTGCTTTAATCCTGGAGTACATAAGGCGAACCGTGGGTTACTGTTTAAACAGTTGTTGACGGACTAACGAACTAAAAGCGTCCGTACTGTAAGCTTTATTGCAGTAGCTGGACAGTAATCCTTAACCTGGCCACCAGCTCTCTGCAGCTTACGAGACTGCGAGCCGCGAGACATATTCATGTGTATGTAAAAAGCAATCCTTACGATTGCGAAAAAGCAAACTGGAGTAGCAGCACAATTTTTTAATAATTGTGTTGGCTGTGTCAATGGCAACGTTAATTTTATTTGATGTAACCAACAGTCCCGAGACCCCGCCTCCAAACACTTGTCTGTTGCCTTGTCACACCTCTGGCATAGGGATGGGCTGTCAATATTTGTATGCAACACACAAAACCTTTTGAATGTTTTGATCCTTTTAACCTTGGCAGCATGACTTGTTGTTATGGCTGTTTTTGTTGTTGTGGCTGCTGCTGTTGTCAGCCATCGTCAGCTTTTAGCATTTCATTTAATTTGATTTAGATTCAACAATTTTGCTGCGCAGTTGCATTTAGCTCCACACGCTGCTAAAAATGCTTCACATTCGCCTTTTTTGTAGCTTCGACAACTCAGATTTATAGCCAAATTAAAATATACATTTTTAATCAAATAATCTTTATAGTTTAGCCTGTATTTTTATGACTTGCAACGTCAATTTGGAGCGCCCCCAATTTAGGCATTCATCAATTATGCAACTTGGGAATATCGTAAAAAGTAAATTTCCCGTTTTGTGGTGGCCTCTCGATTTAAATCTTTAAAATGTGCACAAATATCTCTAGCAATAGATTGCTATTTATTGTTTTAATTAATATAAAGGGCTCGTCAGTTTTTTGTTTGTCTTTTGCCTGATTGACTGGGCACAAAACTTGAAAATGTTTTCTGTGCAACAACATTATGCGGAGTATAAAGCCTTTGGCAATGTGCAGTACTTTTGATTTAAGATGTTTAATATTTTGTGCTTTTTTAAATAATTTATTATCTTGTTTAAAGAGCAAAGCGCTGTGAAATGTAAGATTTGTTACGCCTGTAAGCTAACTATACTCTACTTTCATAGTCTTTGCTTGATAAAGATCAGAGGGAAAGAGAGAATGAAATTGAAAAAAAAAAAATTGTAACTATTTCTACTTCTACTTCTACTTCTACTCCTACTTCTACTTCTACTTCTACTTCTACTTCTACTTCTACTTCTATTTGTACTTGTACTTCTACTTCTATTTGTACTTGTACTTGTACTTGTACTTCTACTTCTACTTCTACTCCTACTTCTACTCTACTTCTACTTCTACTTCAACCTATTGGACCTTTTCTACTCATATTCTATAAATTCGTTAACTGTTTAAAGCAATTCCTTAATTTTCGAGTAAATTAAACAGGATATGGCGATAACACATGCATATATACAAATAGCTGCGAGCAACGTGTATGTCACTCAAGCAATGTTTGTGTTTTAAAATTTGTTTTCTAATTTATTTTGTTGTGTCTGCCCCCTGCAGCTTTTTCGCCATTTCAAGTTAATTATTTTCTTATTTTCGTTATAAAATGTTCATTTCCCTGCATATACTAAGTCGAGATGCTTGGGCAAACGCTTAAGTATTTGCCCCGTTCACTTACCTGTCACTTGAGTGATGCCTTCCCGTTGGGCCGACGAGACGCGCCGGAAAATGCTGAGCACCGCTTTGCTGTAATGCATATGTAAGGAAAGATAATTACGGTAAAGAGCTTTTCAAAATAAAATAAACAAGATGAATTATATAATTTTGAATGATATATGGTAGGGAAATTACAAATGCTTTGAGTACTTACCGAAAATTTTGTCCGCTCACGCAATAAAGCACAAAATTGATGCCAAAATTTGTGATGAAGAACGCATTGAAAATGTACTGCAAAACAATTGTTGTATTCTGCGTTTTGGATGTTTGAGTCTGGGTAGAACGAATATGTTTTTGTTAGTTGATTTTTGGATATGTGAATTATATATCTTTAAGGTTTAGTTGCCTTTAAGCTTGCGCTAATACAATTTATGCAATAACTTGTCGTTTTAATAAACAATTTCCTTAAGATCCCAATAACTTTTTCTTGGTAGACAGACTTTATTTCAATCTCATTAAACCGTGTAACATGTGTTGGCCATAAACGTGTTTTGGTAACCTGTTGAACCTATTCGACAGTTCCAATCGGTTGGCCCGTCAAAAACCCTTCCGCTCAATTAATTTCATGTCGCAATCAATGTTCAATGCCAGCCGCATGTTCAAACAATTTGCTATTCATTCATTCTATCAGCTTTCGAACCTCTGACATGCGCATACCAAACGGCAAAACCATATGAAAAAAAGAAAGCCACAAACGCTTTGACACGCAGGGTTTGTGAAACTGGGAATATGGACCATAAAATACGATTTTTTACTATCTCTGAGTTTATTCAAGCGTATTTTAGTGTGATTTATGCGCTGCCAAAAAACGAAAACTTAAAAAGAAAATTATCGGCATATCCTTTCGCTGGGCACATGATGTCCTATTAACACATGGCCCTTGTGTGTGTCTCTCTCTGTGCGTATGTGTGTGTGTGTGTGTGGGGTGGATAATGCAGTAACCCATTAAAAGGAAACTTATGTAATTAAATCTTGTAAAGTGTCGTAAAGAGCCGGGATTTTATTTTATTTATTTTATTTTGTTTATTCTTTTTACATTTGAGTTCCGTTTTTTACGATTCAACGGTGTCAAAAGTACACAAACTAATTAAAGCTTAATTATATGGCAAAAACATCCACGCACAGCAGCCCCCACACAATCTTTCATAGCCATAGCTTTGCCAGGCATGTTATACATATACATTTGCGTAGCTAAAGCGACGATACCGTATTTAGCGTGCCAGGATATTTAAAATCATTTTTTTTAAAGGCAACTTAAGCATGTCATTCGGATTTTTCATCATGCGTGGAATTGCAGAGATGTGTGCTCTAATTAGATTGCGGAGCTTAGTTTGACTAATCAGGATATTATTTCCTTCCGTCGCTACCTTATATTGTGCTTTTTTGTTTCTGCATGTTTGACCGTTTTCTGATCTATTTCTAACTAAATCCATGCAATTCCTGAGGCGCTAATTATCCAGATATTTACAGATGCCAACCCACAGTGAGGCATGCATTAATAAGATATACTGTATTTGCGTCAAGATATTCTCGTCCTCGCTATAAATAGTGTGTGTCTTTAATCTTGTGTGTGGGCTCCTTTCGGTTCGCAGCACAGATATGGACATTGTTAATTAGTTGCTGATGCTGCTGCTGCTGCTGTTGGCGCAATAATAAAACTTTCTTTATTCTGCTGCAGTTACATGAACTGTAGGACAACATGCTAGGGTTGTGCTATTTATATTTCTTTGAGCTTTTACCAACTGACCCGCTGTTTGCCTAATTCTTGGTAAATTTTAATTAATTATTAAGGGCAACACGTGTAGCGCTGATTTCTGTTGTTGATATTATTGTCACCACAAATTGACACAGTTTTCGAGCAGCTCATGCGGCGTATGCGCAATTTATGTGCCTTATATTTGCTTGGGCTTTTGTTTCGAAATTTGCAAAGTTTTTTGTATTAATTGGAACTCGGGTTATGTTTTTCTTGATGACAATTGTAATTGGATTTTATGCTAGTTAAAACCAATTATTGTCCGGCTTTGCACGGGTCAGCTATATTTATTCAAGTAGTTTTTGCTTGTATTATTTTGAGGAACTTTGCGTATGAAATGATATTTTACAGAGATATTGGAATAGGAGTTGGAAGACGAGAAACAAAACAGTTTCATACAATCGTAGTCACCTATTCCACGCTTGCGAGTGGAATCTCCATGATTTCTAGAGTGAAAAGGTCACCTGTGCATGGATTATCTGTCAGTCAGGACAAACTATTTCATATGTATATAGTTAAAAATTTAAAAAAATTAAAATAGTTAAACTTCTTTTTATGCATGGCAAAAAGTCACGTCTCACAGTCCTATGTTTAGTTCGAAATACTTGTTGAACAGGAACTTACCTCCCAATAAGTTTCGATGCGTAGCAAGCAGCTTGGTAAATTCAGGCAAACAAAAACCGTGGAGACAATGAGCAGCATTTTGGTCACCTTCAATTGCGATGAATTTTGCACCTTGCGGCGTCCTGCATAATAAACGTGAAACGAAAGGAGAGCGTTTATTATGTAGAATGTGCGCAATTACTTTGAAATGATTTAAGTTGACTGCAGAAAAAGTTTGCATTGCGTGCTGAAAGTAACTCTTAAGTAGTTTGCATTTTTACGCTGCTTTGCACGTTATCATATGTTGCATAAGGCTAATTGTTGAGATTTTGTGCGCGCCAAAGTTGGCAGCTAATGGTTAAAGGGAAAGTTGCCAACCTGGATGTGCGAATGTGTGTGCGAGTGTGTGTGTGTGGCAAGTGTGTGGCTGGCTGTCATTTAGTTTAAATGAGCATTATGTCCTGTCAAGTGGCTACAACTAACTGCAACTTTGGTGTCTTACCCGTTTTCTGTGTTATTTCGCAATGGTGTTGAGACCTGGCATCGTGTCGTTGTTGTTGTTGTTGTTGTTGCTGCTGTTCGGTTTGCCGTGACACACTGTGCTGTCCGCTTGGGTGTGTGCCAGTTGACTTTTGACGCCTCAGCGATGCTGAAATGCGATAAGTGGCAGCTGCAACCCCACCGCCAGTTGTTGCATTTGCTGGTACGTTAGTTATCTGAGGCTTCCTGCATGAATACAACAATGCGCATTCGTACTTGATTAGATGAAGATTGCCCTCATAAATATAAAACGCAGACTGCATTTTGTGGCATTGCAATCAGACCATATCAGAAATGATGCCAATATCAAATCAACATTGTACAATACACAAAGCTGCATGCTCCAACTGAATTTTCACTGGGAAATTTTCTATTCAATTTTAACAATATCTACTCACATCTTATGCATTGTCAGTGTGCGTCGAACAGTTGCAAATTTCCAAACGGTGCAGCCGGTGCAGGTATTCAGCACGGTGATGGTTGTAAAGGGAACCGCATAGACAACAATCGAGTCCCAGTAGTTGAAAAGAGCCAGTTGTTCCTGTTAATAATAATAAACAAATTTAGAAATTTGCCTGCACTTGAATTTGTTTGCCTTTTAATCCAATTACAAACAGGTTCAGGCAACACGGCGTATGCGTAATTTGCTTTGTGCGAAACCACAGACAAATCGAATTATTATTGATAGAAGATAATTTAAAATATACATAAAAAAAATACGAAATACAAAATGAAAGTGCAGCTAACGAAATGAAAGGGATCGTATTCGTTTTGGTTTTTTTTTTCGATTGAACGGCGCACAATTCGTTTAAAAATGTGCCTGCAAATTTCCGAGAAGAGTTAACAACGTTTGGTCCATGCAAAAACTCGCTGCAGTGCTTTTGCTTGGCGTAAAAGAAACTTTTAAATAGCATTTTTTTTGGGGTTTAAAAGTTTTTGTTAGTATTTTCGACCCCTAAGCATTTAATAAAAAGATAACTCACCGAGGGAGAAATTTCAAAAGAATTGGAAAAGTGTATTTTAGGAATAGAGGTCCGCTTAAAAGTATTTACTGTAGTTGCAACATTTAAAGAGTAAAAACTGAAGTTTCTGCAAGAATTTTTATTCAATTTAACATGGAAGTATGCTCCACTGTATGTAAGGGTATCTATCTGTTGCTTTTCTATTTCAAGCAATAGCTCTGGGAATATTCCTAGTAGGATACTATTAAACCCATCTAAAAGCTATTTTTGGTACCTTGATTTTCTTTTTTTTAATTTTGTAGTTTCGTTGGCGTTTGGGTTACGCTTTTCTTGGAAAATTGCAATTGTTGCTGTGGATATTCATAACATTCGTTTCTTGTTGCTCTATTTCTGATATTTGAGATTATTTAACGGGAAATATTAAGACTCGACTCTATCGAAAAAAATTGATATTTCCAGCGATGCAATTTAATATGTCTCAATAAAAAAAAACTGCAGACCCACTATAAATATAGCACAACAAAAAAAAAAATATACATATTAAATAAATTTATTCATTTATTGCACACCTGCTGCTGCCGTGAATTTAAATGCCAGCCACAGCAATGCAAAGTTGTTATTTAATATCCGCTTACAGAAATTTTCTATATTGATATTCAGATGCTAATTAAATTCTGAAATGATAGCCTTTCGCGAAGAAATTTGCAATAAATAAGAATTTTTAATTAGCATTTCGCGATATAATGCGAAAATAGAATGAAATAAGATTCAATTGTAACCTGTTGTTGAATTAAGCCATTAAAGCTGCACTAAAATATAGCCAAAGGCTTAATTGACAAAGGTAAAATTACGGATACGACTCAAAGAAATTCCGCTCTACATAGAAAAGCCTAGGGTATTGTCCTGGGAGCTTGGCTTAACCCTTGCTCTCTCTAATATGCAATCAATTAAATCAATTTTCTTGGCCCCTTTTACAATTTGAGCCCATTTAGGGATAAATTCAATTTTATTTTCGTTTCTTATTTATCAACATTTTTGTTATATGATTACTTTTGGGCAGCGTGTCAAGTTGATCAAAGCTTAATAGCTCATACATTTTCAATGAACTGCATGAAAAAAAATGGGTACTTTGTCATCTTGATGGGCGCGGCTTTGTTATAAACTTAACGCTTCAGTTGTCGCCAGGCCCAATTTGGCTAATAGATGCGATCGCTTTTCGGAAAATATGTTTTTTTTTTTTTTTTTTTTTTTGGTGGATGGACATTTTGTTTTGCTTGTTTGACTTGCACTGTCTGGAAATTAGCATTGAATTTCAGGGCCTCCCCTTGTCAGGTATTGTTATAAAGCGTCAACATAAAACGTAATGTAAACAGAAATTCGAGATTTAACGAACACCCAAGCAAATTTTCAGTCAGGACCTTTGCCTTTTGTGTCTGTGTGTGTGTGTGGAATTTTTCCTCTTCTTTTTTTTTTTGTGTGTGTGTGACCACCAATCGGACACGCCCATAACCAATGTTGGATGGGTGGGCACGTTTTGGCTGTGCTTCTTTAGCAATTGTTTGGTTTTCTCCTTTTATGTTGCGGTAGAAAAAAAGTGTCTGCCTTAGTTTCACTTGCGGTCTTTGTACAACGCGCTGGTACTGTATACCCTATACACACAAAGGGTAAGCGGGGAATATAATTTGATGGAATGTATATCTTAAGCTTGTAAAATGATACGGATGTGAAGAAGTATTATGATGTTAAGAGGTATGTTCTTCATATATTTTGGGTAGGATGCGTTTGTAGGCCCCTTTCTAGGCTGAAGTGTCTTCGTTTTATTAATTGAATTTTTATGATGTGCTGGAAAGGCAGTATAATTTTACAATTCTTTTAATGGGCTTAGTTATGCGCACTTTTATGATCAAAAGCTAAACGAACCGCTTGAAGGGCATTCTACATTCGTGCGGGCCAGCTTTTTGTTGTGGTCTAGTCCTTTGGTATGCTGTGACATGCTGCTGCTTTTTGTGTTAAATTTGGGCTACTAATTTGTTGGCTCGCCCTAATAAATTGTCAATTTGCGCCTAACTCACTCAGCAGTTGGCTGAACAAACTGCGCGTTTGATTAATTGGCGGCATTTACGCAATGCTATTATTGGTTCTAAGGATTGTATTTCCTTTTTGTTTTTTTTTTGTGTGGCCAAAAAATGTACGCATTTAGCTGTGGGCTTAGCTTGTTAACAAGTGTTGTAATTTTTTTCTCATCTTTTTCTTTTGGTTAATTGGCCACCAGCAAAGGCAAATTTCTTTAACCAGCGGCAACTTTAAGTGCGCCGCATTCTGCCAAACGAGTAAGCTCTAGTTTATTGCCTATTGAAGCGAGTGGCTATTGAGCTAACAGCCAGACGTTGTCGGTTGGCAAGGCGATTTTTTAAAATTAAAGTTCATGTTCAGAGATAAGGATTTTATCAGCAGCAGAAAATGAACGGAAATCCTTGGCATGCAAAGCAAAAGGTTAGAGAAGTATTTGACGAGTGCTATGCAATACGTATATTTACTCAAGCGTGCTCTGAAATTGGTTTTAATACCCGTTCGCAAAGTGATAAGCGAATGTTGACCGACTGTTAGGTTGAAGAAGAAATGCCTACTCGTGTGTTAAGATTAAATATCTATGCCCACTGGCACGTAAATGTATGCCCCTAAACTATGCAGTACCTGTTTTAATGTCAGTCACAGATTCTATATGCCACAAGCAGACTCTAGCTTGGGGGTATAAATTTCCTGCTGTAGCTGCTTTAATGGCAGCAGCATATAAACAGACTTTTTTTGCCAATTTGTATAAGATTGACGTCAGATAAATTAAATTTATTAATATTTCAAATGGTTAAACATCAATTTGCACACTTCAAGCTTCGAAAGTAGCAGGTAAAGGTGTTTAGACATTTTTATTTGATTTTTTTCGTTTTGATTTATGAATTGTGTGAATTCGTATAAATTCTATAGAGAATGGGATCAAAAAACAATGTCAAGAATTTAACAAAAAATGTATGCGTAAAATGAATTTCAGAGAATTCACAATAGGATGTGGCATAGTCTGTGCTTTTGTGGCAACCTTTTGTTGGCCGTCCTCTTGTAACATTCCTGCCACTATTCAGTGCCAGTTGTTATTGGCAACCCATTTAAAGTCAGACCAAAAAGACACCAGTTTCGGAATTACAAACATGCAATAGAAAAGGTTTTCATGTTTGTTGTGTGAATGCTGGCAGAGAGCAGCTCAGTGATATCACACATACGCCGTGTTGCCATTTAACATAGCATACCCATACCCATACTCACCTTATACGAGGTATTCAGATCGCAGATGGTATCATTCAGCTTGGGACTGTAGACGGGTTTGGCAATCAATATGTAAGGCACACAATGCACACAGCCGGCCAATGTGAGGCCAAGTAAGACGATTTTGGCTCGTCGAACGGTGCACATTATTTGCCGCTTAAGCGGATACATGACTGCTATGAAACGCTCCACGGTGAAGGCAACCACAAACCACACAGAACAGAAGCTGGCCAAATAGCTGATGAATGTAAAGAACTGACAGAAGTAGTTCTGATTGTAGATGTTCACATTGAGGAAATTCAGCCATTGCATGAATAAGCCACACAGGAAACAGGTATCGCTGATGGCCAATGCCGCCAAATAGAAGCTCGATGACAACTTGCGCAGCTTCGTCATAAAGAAGACAAATACGGAGAGTATGTTGCCGATGCTGCCCGTGCAACAGATGATGGGCACATAGTATCTATTCACAAAATCGCTGATGAGGAAGGCAATGTGCAACATTTCCTCGTCCTCAACGGACATATACTCCAAATCGATGCTGATATTCCTGCTGCTATCTGTGGTATAACTGAGAGTTGTTGTCACTGTTGCAGTTGTCGCTGTTGTTGTTGTTGTTGTTGTCGTTGGTGCCGATATGTCCTGGCTTGTGTTTGACATTGCTGTCATTGTGGTCGGTTCATAGGGATTAGCCATAATTGCGTTTGTCCTGTTGTTGCCGCACAGTTGTCAATGGCACTGCAAGTGTCTTGACAATTCTCTTGCTACACTTGGCCTGCGGCCTGTTTATTGCTGACGCTTTGTTGCTTTCCTGACTGAGTGCACAAATCTCTCTGCACTAATATTCCGCGGGCTTGTATTTAATTTTCTGAAAGTTATACAGCAACAACAGAGATAAATAAAAAAATTAAATCAAAACTAATTAGGTGCAGTTTTCAGTTGTACTCAAAATAAATGAAAAGTAAAAAGTTGCTTAATTAAACAAACTATACGAACACAATTTCCGGCGTCGCAGGTAAAAACTTTTCTTTACTGCAAATTTGGAGTAAATAAATAACGAAAAAATATATCTGTGAAATATTTGTGCAAAGTTTTTTGATGAAAAAGTTTTTAAACTATTATTTTTGTCGACAAAAGTTTTTAATTATTATGTTTAGTTCAAGTTAGGAACTGAGTAATGAGTCGTATTTTTTTTATATTTATTAATTGTATTTTTCGGATTAAGTTTTCGTTTTTAATTTTTAACTTTAATGAACTTATGGACAATTATCAAAGAAAATCATTTCATGAAAGTTTTTCACACGTTTCTTATTCGCTTTTATATTTGCTTTGAAAGTTTTTTTTATTTATATATATCCTGATTGCTTTTAGTTCAAACTTTTTCACATGCATCGAAATCGGTCAAGTGCACACCTAAAGTTTTGATTTTCTATGGAAGTTTGACCACAGGTTTTTCGTTTAATTTTTGGATATTTTTTTTTTGGTAAAACTCAGTCCCAAAAACTTGTTCAAGCGATAGATCAACTAATTGCTCAATTCGAGTCGTTGAGGCTTACGTTTGTATTTTTACCGACGGCGCGCTTATGTTTTGTGCCTCAGTTGTTCATTTGTTTGTTCGTTGGTGCCACTCAAGAACCTGCAGCCTGTAGGACATAACGCGCGAAACTAAGCCGAGACAATGGCTGAGGCGGCTTTTTAAACAATTTGATATCCCGTTTCGCCGCCATTGGAAGGCGCCAAAACAACCGCTGAGCTTTTTGCCGCCCCTTGGCGTCGGCGCAATGCCAAATGACGCCATTTCATTCATTGAATCAACAGGTGACCAGGTCAGGGTAAGCGCGGAAGCAACAAGTGAGTCTGCCCCTTCAGATATGTAATTGGACCTTGGGCCATGTGACTGGGTTGTACGAGGTGCCAGCTCTTGTCAACACTGTGTGCTTGTTGTTGTTGTTGTTGTTGGTCTCTCTGCTGACATAGTTTGTAGTAAATAGAAACAGATGTAAGGAACTTCCAGCGCCGGCTTAGAAAAGCTTTTTGGCCCCAATGGAAATGTCAAGCGGAAGTTGCTCACAACATCCGGCACTCAGTTGTGCCCGCAGTTGTTGCCGAGCACTCAACCACAAATCATGGCCGCAAATAATATTTGTGGTTGGTATTGTCTTATTGCTTTATTATAAAACGCTACTCACGTACTCTTGACATTTATTGAACTTTCATTTTTCTCTATTGCCTTTCAGAGGATGACAAAGTGGGCACTCTGGACGAGCTGCTGAGCAGCGCCTATTGTCGTTCGCAACGTTTCCTTTCGAAGCAGTTGGCTCACTTGCGACCCGAACTAACCATGCCCATATTTTCAGGTTAGTTATCCTTAGTGTTTGTCAGACATTCGAACAGCTTTTAATAATTTTCTCATTTGCAGAGATAACGCATCGTTTTCAGAGCGCACGCGAGGATGTGCGCGCCTTGCTGCTGCAGTGTCTGTTGCCCTGGTTGCAAAACATGGAACTGGTAGCCACTAGCGTGCCACCCGCCACGCCGCTCTCCTATATTATGGTGAGCATGCCGCTACTCTATTGTTGTTAGCAGATAGTTTGCATAGCTGAATACATTTTCGTTTGGTGTAACCTGAAATTCTTGGACAGTTAAGGCGGAATTTCTTTGTCGGCTGCTCTCACTGTTAATAGGGTATTAAACCATTAAACATTTTTAAATAGGGTTACTGTGTAACAGGCAGAAATAGGAATCTCCGAGCCCATAAAGCAAGGTTTTCCTTGATCAAGACAACAAGCTAGGTCTACCTAGGCATGTTCGTCAGTCCGCTTGTCTGCTTCGATCTCAGCGACCACAAAAGCTAGGTGAAATGTAGAAAGAAGGTGGCTTTACGTTATGTAAAGGGTATCTCATAGTCGGCCACTTTCGATTAGAGCACTTGTAATTTGTTTAACTTTTGTCCTTTGTTCGCAGTACTTTCCGGATTCTGGCACACGCGGACGCCGCGAGGGCACCGGCTCAACTGAGGCCACAGAAATGATACTGAATAATCTGTTTTATATAACAGCCAAGGTGAGTATGCGTGGCTTTCCAAATACTTTGAATAACTATCTCAATTGCTTCGCTATCTGTCAACAGTTTTCCGATGCACATCCGCGCGATATTGAGGAGCTGTGGGGCACATTGTGCCAGTTCTGGCCGAACAATCTGAAGGTCATACTACGCTATTTGGTCATCATGAGCGGCATGGCCCCCACCGAGTTGTTGCCCTATGTAAGTGCCATAGATTTTAGCCACGTTTCAAGTAGCTTTTGTAATATATAACTTGTGTGGTCGCAGGCTAAACGGGTGGCGCTCTATTTAGCGCGCAGCTGTCCGGATCGTTTGCTCGATGAGCTAATGGCCGAGCTGCAGACGGTAGAGACACTTAATTGTCTCATCGAACGCACTGAAACGCCACCATTTTATAGGCTGACCAGCATGCGAAAGGCTTCGAGTCACAGCGCTGATGGTGAGTCACAGCTGAGAGCTGCTTTGCATCAGCCTAAAATCTTTGCTCTTTGTTTGCCAGGACAAGCTGTGGGCGGCATTAATGATTCGCGCACCCAGGATTTGACTGTGGAGAAGGGGACTATACACACGAAGCGACACAGTGGCGAGGATCCCATTAAAATTGGGCAAGTCGTGATGCCCTAAATATAATTTGAGATATGCAATCAACAGTTTATTTTTCTTTTGTCCTTTAGCACCTGCAAGTCGGACAGCGGCATCCGCGCCTATACTCAGGCAGCTGCCGCTGCAGCCGCGGCTGCCGTGACGCCCATTACGGGGATCAGTCGCCCGCCTCGCGGCGCTGATAAAATTCGCGCTGCATCGGGCCCCTCCATACTGCCACGGCCCGAGGATATACTTATCAACGATCCCGAGCTGCGGCAGGAGGAGAATGTGGAGCTGCGTAACACAGCGGAGGCACCGGCAAATGCGCATCCCCACCCATTACCCATGCCCGAATACGGTGGTTACTTTGCACCGCTTACAGAATTTCTGCCGGATGTCAGTTTACCCATCAGCGGCTTTCATCGGTAAGTTTCAATTGCTTCAGATTAGTTTATTTTGATTATGTATATTGGTATTGACCATATGGGTATGTTTCGTAAATATTGTCCGATGGTAGTCCAATTGTGGTACTTATCCAATCCAAGTGGGCGGCAACACTAGTGAAACCGGCTGGGTGACCGACTCTACAACCTCCCGCCGAAAAGAAAGAAGTTACACCAGCCACAGTGTGATTGTCGTATGTTACCAATGGGCCGCCTATGTCGCCGCCACAGGTAGACTTGCCTTCAGGTGTCCTTGCACACAGCACACCTGCATTCACAGAGCCATAATATCTGGAGCATGTCGATGAGCCCATGATCTCAAGATCGACGCATTGCAGCCAATTGGCAACTTGGCCATTGGCCTGTTCACCCCAGCCGCATGCAACTGCCCACTTGTTGTCAAAGATATCGGCATTAGAACTGGGTAAATTAACCTTGTTGACCCAGAACGTAAACTCCACATATGGCGTGCGTATCAGGCCGATGTCGTAGCCCTTCTCTTTTGGCCATTTATCTTGCACATGGAAATCTCCTTTTCCTACTCGATGAGCGAACTGGCCTCTCCTCGTATAGGAACCATAGTGAATTTCCACAAAATCTCGGGTCAGGCATTGTGCAGCTGTCAATACCCAATTATTTGCAATGATAGCACCTCCGCACAATGAGGTTGCGCTGCTTGCGACCGATCCCAATACCAGGCTGACCATGTAAGGAGCCTTGCCCTCGTAGGCTGAATACCCATTGGATATGATATTTTCCGGGTCCGCCTGGTCTTCCGTAGGCTCATTGCCATTTACCAGTGCAAAAGCCAGAAATAAAAATAGTGCCAGCTGTTTCATGCTTAAGTTGCAAGTTAAGCGTAAATTGCTTTGGCAACGAGCTTTTGTAGTTGTTCGCCGAACTAATTATAGCTTCCGTTGCTAATTATAGGGCTTAAATTGATAGTTTTTGGTTATGAGCGGTTCAAATGGGAAGCACCTAATGATTCAAGACATTAGCCCAAGATTATTTATCACAAATACAAATGACATTCAAAGTCTTTTACAAATTAACTGGGATCTTTAAAAGAAACAAACATGTCAAGTATTTTTCTGAATAACTGCATAAAGGTTCCTCGAAATAATACCAAGGAATATCTTTAAAACATTCAGCAAAATACCCAGTATTATATTTAAGACAGACAATACTATATTATACTTAAATAGACGTTATTGTGGATCAATCAAGATTATATGAACTAAGACCACGATCGGATACTTTCACTCTTAAAGAAGGAATATCATCTGAGTTTGTCAAAAAGTGGCAAATACGTTCTTAATTCGCAGTCATATCCGCCATTTCACAATGCACAACAGTTTTTATACATCTTCTTGGCATTCCCAAAAATATTGCTCTTAAATTCAATTCCGTTTTACTATACATAACTTCAGTTTGACAAACTATGTTAATAAGATTGCTAATGAAAACAGTCAAACACCTTTTGTAGCATACTTCTTTATTAGTTACTTCATTCAATATAATAATTTGGATTAGTAATAAGCAACTCCTGAGTTTTGACGTATCCAATCTAGGTGAGCGGTCACACGCGTAAAACCAGCTGGATGTCCCACCGTGCAGCCTACAGCCGAACCGAAAGATGTTATGCCGACCAAAGTGGGATTGTCGTGTGTAACCAATGGACCGCCAGAGTCCCCGCCACAGGTGGATTTGCCGCCAGGTGTTCTCACACACAAAATGCCCCCAGGTAGATTGCCATAGGCTCGGGAACACTCGTTGTTGCTCATGATCTGTAGATCGACGCATTGTAGCCATTCAGCCAGTTGGCCATTAGCCTGTCCACCCCAACCACAAGCAACTGCCCACCAGTTTACAAAGAGCTCGTTTCGTTGATTAAAACTGGGAAGATTGACCTTGTTGACCTTGCTTGTGAAATCCACGTGAGGAGTGCGTATTAGACCGATGTCATTGCCATTCGTATTAGGCCAGAGATGGTGACGAATGAAGTTATTATTTCGAACTCTATGACTATATTGGCCTCTGCCACGCCAATTGGAGCCATAATGAATGTCCACGTAGTCCGTTGTCAGGCAATGGGCAGCAGTCAGCACCCAAGTGTGGGCGATGATGGTGCCCCCGCCAATTGCAAGTCTATTGCTGCCATCAGTTCTTATCAGAAGACTGACAATATAGGGAGCCTTGCCCTCGTAGGCTGGATAGCCATTAGTTATGATGTTATCGGGCTCATGCTGATCCGGAGAGGCTGTAGTCGAGGTTTGATTGCCGTTTGCAGAGGCAACCCCCAAAAACAAGAGTAATAACAAAACTTTCATTCTGAATTCGCAAGTTGAAGACCGGTTGCTGTTGCGATCTTATATAGTCGTTTAAAGAACTAATTACCACATTATTTGTTACCAACTATTGATAATAGCAAAAAGAAACTGAAATGGAGGATAAGAATAGATAGTTAATGGCTCAAGAAATTACTTTTCTAAGTAGTTGATTGACTTTTGTGTTGGCCAGATTAATATATCCTTAGACACTCCAACTGTTTACACCACTTTTCGTTGGACACACAGCAGGTTCTAACCAGATTGTTTCAATAATTTCTTAAAGTTTGTTCTATTTAGCAATGCAAAACCAACATCAAGTTTTAAAACTTTCTTCCCTTTTTTGTATGCTTTTAAGAAAATCATGCGCCTTTATTAGCTGTTTTTTTTTTTTTTTATATTAGTAATAAGCTACGCCTGAGTTCTGACGTATCCAGTCCAAGTGGGCGGTCACACGCGTAAACCCAGCTGGGTGTCCGGCCATGCAACCGGCGCCTGAAACGAAAGATGTTACACCCACCAACACAGGATTGTCGTGTGTAACCAATGGGCCGCCAGAGTCCCCACCACAGGTGGATTTGCCGCCAGGTGTTCTCACACACAAAATGCCCCCAGGTAGATTGCCATAGGCTCGGGAACACTCGTTGTTGCTCATGATCTGTAGATCGACGCACTGTAGCCATTCAGCGAGTTGGCCATTAGCCTGTCCACCCCAACCACAAGCAACTGCCCACCAGTTCTCAAAGAGCTCGTTTCGTTGATTAAAACTGGGAAGATTGACCTTGTTGACCCTATTAGTGAAATCCACGTGAGGAGTGCGTATCAGTCCGATGTCATTGCCATTCGTATTAGGCCAGAGATGGTGACGAATGAAGTTATTGTTTCGAACTCTATGACTATATTGGCCTCTGCCACGCCAATTGGAGCCATAATGAATGTCCACGTAGTCCGTTGTCAGGCAATGGGCAGCAGTCAGCACCCAAGTGTGGGCGATGATGGTGCCCCCGCCGATTGCAAGTCTATTGCTGCCATCAGTTCTTTTTGGGGGTTGCCTCTGCAAGTGGCAATCAGACCTCCACAAAATCCTCTTCGGATCAGCATGAGCCCGATAACATCATAACTAATGGCTATCCAGCCTACGAGGGCAAGGCTCCCTATATTGTCAGTCTTCTGATAAGAATCAGAAGACTGACAATATAGGGAGCCTTGCCCTCGTAGGCTGGATAGCCATTAGTTATGATGTTATCGGGCTCATGCTGATCCGAAGAGGATTTTGTGGAGGTCTGATTGCCACTTGCAGAGGCAACCCCCAAAAACAAGAGTAATAACAAAACTTTCATCCTGAACGTGTTAGTTAAAAACCGGTTGCGGTTGCGACCTTATATACTCGTTTATACGAACTAATTACTGAATTTGTAATCATTATTTGGTACCGACTGTTGATAAAAGCAAAAAAAACTTGAAACTTTTCTTTCAAGAATAGATAGCTAATGGTCCAAGACATTAGTTATCGAAGTAGTTCACTGACTTATATGCTAGTCTGATTTATGCTCTTATATATTTTCGCTTAGATAATTTGCTGTTATATTACAATCCTTAGCATATGGTTCTATTTGTGGTTCAAACCTGTGCCGCGCTTTGGTTTGATTTTCCCGGGCAATGGGGGTGGGAAATTTTCACGACTTTGTAGGATATTTAAATTTCACATGAATATCGACCAAGACTAATATTGTCAGATATAGACGACAAATTAAACAAGATGTGAATTCATGAACAAAAAGCCAAACTTTACGAAAATCGGTTGCATTTTGAACGAGATATTAGAGTGGGAAACCTCGACCTGTGTCTACACAGGATATTTGAAGCTACCTGATTGAATTTTGACCAAATACATTTTTGCCAGATTTAGATACCAAATTGATGTAAAGGCCAAACCATGAACAAAGGTCCAAAGCTCATGCAAATCTGATTAGTTAATGGGAATTTCAAGTCTTGCGTATGTTCATAAGTTGAGTCTATGACTCGGCAAGTTTTTTTCGGATTTGACTTCGTGTAATGCTCTTAGCGTGGCTATATTAAAAAAAGTAAGAGGTACTATTCGGGAGCTCCCGACTAGGGGATACCCTGAATTCTCTTCTTCCAACACCAAATGCAAATATATATACTATTCTAGAAGCTACATGTCAAGTTTGGCAACTCTAGCTCTTATTATTCACCAAAATTGCTCAAAAGGCTGGATTTCGATATAGATTTTTATCGATTGCTTGGAAACGGAGCAAGTTATCCAATATCGGAAATAAGCTCGATCTGCGTGGGCACTAGGAGGGCCTACAGCTATCATTTCAGTCTACGGATGGACGGACGGACATACACACGGACGGACAGATAGTCAGACAGACATGGCTAGATCGACTCGACTGTTGATGCTGATCAAGAATATATACTTTATGGGGTCGGAGATGCCTGTTACATACATTTGCACAAATACTAATGTAATGTACCGTTTTAAGCCATTTTTGATGGGTTCAGGGCATTAAAAGTCCATATCGTATACCCCTTCTTGTACATATCCTCAGAATCTTCTTAGGAAAGCAGACGAATTACAAATCAAATTAGAAGCCAAGATTGGCTAAGAATCTTTACAAAATAAAAGTTCGCATGGATTGCAGTTTAAAGTTGTGTATTGTATTTTTATTTTTTTTTTTTTTGTTATTTCTTTAGCAGCTATATTTATAGATTTTGAATTAAAATCAAGAATTTTGCAACTCGAGGCTTTAGCCAGTGATGCCAGTGTTATCACGTATCCATCCGAGGAAGCTTGTAACGCGTGCAAAGCCAGCTGGATCGCCAGCCGTGCAGCCCCTGCCCGAAACAAACTGACTGATACCAATCAGAATCGTACCACTTTGTGTTACCAGCGGACCGCCAGAGTCGCCGGAACAAATGGATCTGCCGCCCGAAGTGCTAGTGCAGAGAATTTGGTTCTGGATTGTGCGTGTGCCATAGGTTCTGGCACACTGAGAGTTGGATATGACCGTCGCATCGACGCATTGTAGATTTTCGGGCGTTCTAGTTGAAGTTGTCTGTCCCCAGCCGCAGGCCGTGGTCCGTTCGTTGACGTAGAGATTACCACCATTAGTGGGCAGCTTCACCTGCTTGATGCGATCGGAGTAATTGACGTGGGGGGTGCGTATCAATGCGATGTCATCGCTGGGATGGTTTATGATGTTCTTGCCAGTAACAGTGTGTGTCACCGAGCCCTGAGCGCGCTTGTTTGTGCCATAGTAAATGGTCACAGAGTTGAAAGACTTGGAACAGTGCGAAGCGGTGACCACCCAAGTATTACCAATTATGGAGCCACCACACCATGCACCCGAATTGCCATTTCGGAATGCCAAGAACACAATGTATGGCGCCTTGCCCTCTGGTGCTAAGTAGCCGTTCGTGATGATATTCTCCGGCTCCAGCTGCTCTTCGGCGAGCCTCAATGTGTTACCTCTTGCCAGAGCAACGGTAGACAGAAGAAATAGAGCCAAGACCTTCATTTTGAATGCAACAAATTGGTACAACTTAAAAACAAGCTAAGCTCTGGCTTATATAGTTACCACCTGACCCATATTTGTAGGTGACACGTTTTCAGTATTTTTGGTAGATAAACTAATTAACAATAGTTGTTTGTCGGGTAAACAAGATATCGTAAGCACCAACAATTAATGATTTTATGCATTAGGCAAATACTTTTTAAGTAAAAACAAATAACCGCTGAGAGCTGAGAATATTGAAGTCGCATATATTACATATCCTTTCATCATTATTTCTACATCTTTATCCTTTTTCTCCGAATTTGAGTTTAAAGCCTTTTGATGTATTGTCTTATGAAGGAAACACCTACATAATATTATTTAAACTAGACCATTTGCTTCTTAGACTTGTAAAAATCGTTAAAGAAAATTGGTTAGGGTAAACAATTTTTAATCGAACCGTTTTGAGGAATCCTGCCTTATTATGCTTTTTCTATGAATCGTCCCAAAACAGTCGCATTGAAACCACAACTAAACCACTTTTTTTGTATCGAAAAAAGTCGTTTCATGTATTTGGAAAACCAGTTTCACTAACTTAAAGGCAGAAATTTGGTTTAAATCGGGAGCCGAACCACCGACAATTATATTTTGTATGTTTAGCTTAGTTTATCAGAATCGTGCTCTCTTCTCTTACAGCTGCAACGTGGCGGTCATGCTGCTGACAGATATTGTGGTGGATGGCATTCCCGGCATCGATTGGACGCTTCATTTGCCACTGATGCTGCACATATTGTTCCTGGGGCTGGATCACACGCGCATCATTGTGCGGGAGCATTGCAAGCAGCTGTGCGTCAATTTGTTGATTGTCCTGGCTGAGCACAATGATCATCTGACGGTGGCGCGCATTCTGCTCAACAGCGAGACGAGCAAACTGGACTTGGGACTGACGGTGCCGGCTCTGCCCGTGATTGATAATAACTTTACGGAGCTGCATCAGCAGTTCGACAGCTATCTGCTGCACGTTAGCCCCCAGGCGGCCGCCTATGCGCTGCAGCACAATCTCTCCAGCTCGACAATCATTGCACCGCACTCGACTAACCAGCAGACGCTGCCACAGAATCTGCAGCAGCCGCCTCCAGTGCTGGGAGCAGGAAATGCCACGCCAGCGGCACTGGCCTCAACGCCCGCGGCGCTGCAGATCAATCCGAATAATACGGAGAACTCGGAGGTGCCGTTAATCCATGCTGATGAGCATGCCCCACCACAGCCGGGTCCCAGCATGCCCATAGCCCATGTGATCAAGAGTTTGCTCAAGTTCCTCGCCCACGATACCTGCCAGCCCCTCTGGAACTATGAGGACATCACGGCAAAGGTGTGGGCCGTAAAATCTGCGGAGCAGCTGAGCTGTTTCCTGAAGCACATGGTCAAGGTGTTTGCCGATAGCTATCCACAGGCGCGCATTGCCGAGCGCTGGGCGCAAACGGCTTTGCAGCTGGGTCTGTCCTGCTCCTCGCGCCATTATGCCGGACGCTGTCTTCAAATCTTCCGCGCTCTTAATGTGCCCATCAACTCGCGCATGCTGTCGGACATACTGTCCCGTCTGGTGGAGACAGTGGCTGAGCAGGGCGAGGACATGCAGGGCTATGTAACGGAGTTGCTGCTCACGCTGGAGGCTGCCGTGGACAGCTTGGACTCGGACTTTAGACCGCTGGATGTGATGAAAGATATATTCAAGAGCACGCCCAATTTGAACAACAAGGATGGCGGTCCCAACTCCATTCTGCCCGGCAAAAAGTCGCCATCGGGCATGACACCGCAATCCTCGAACTACTCAATACCCAGCCATGGACGAAGCACCAGCTACTCGGTATCCTATTGCGGACGTAAAGCCAACAACTCGCCCTGCGACAAGCAGGCGGAGCTGCGGAATCGTGCCTCTGGCATTGAGCTGGAACGCAGTGTTGTCAGCAAATTTGGCGTGGGCGGAGTGGGCGTAGGTGCCGGTTCCGCCTTGTCGCGCTCACGCAGCGCTCAGAGCCTGAAAATGCTGGGCGATACCGCTACGCAGGATGACAAGATGACCATATTGGCGCAGCTGTTCTGGCTGTCAGTTTCGCTGCTCGAATCGGACTATGAGCACGAATTCATGCTGGCGTTGCGGCTGTTAACCCGAGTGCTGCATCGCCTGCCGCTGGATCGTCCCGATGCGCGCGACAAAGTTGAGAAATTGCAGCAGCAGCTCAAATGGACCGCCTACCCAGGCGTCCATGCGCTGCTTTTGAAGGTAGGCGCAGCTCGGACTAAAGACACGGAAACCAGCTAATTTCAATTATTCATTCTTGTTTTTAGGGATGCACTCACAGTGCCACCTATGAGCCCACAATCACGCTGCTGGCCCAGTTCGCGCCGCTGCTCAGCCTGCCCGTCTGTGATCCCACGCAGAGCTGTGCTTTTCCCATGAACGTAATCGCCCTGCTACCGTACATGCTGCTCCATTACGAGGATGCCAATGAGATTTGCATACGCAGCGCCGAGAATATCGCACATGTTTCCACGGAACTGGGCGCCAAACTGGAGAATCTGGGCACTGTGATGACATTGTACAGTCGCAAAACGTTCTGCAAGGAATCGTTCCAGTGGACCAAGTGCGTGGTCAAGTATTTGCATGACACATACGCTCACATGGGCCTCCATATGTTGGCCTTCCTCATCGAAGTGCTGGAGAAGGGGCCGCAACAGGTGCAGGTTCCGGTGCTGAATGTTATTCATTGCATGCTGCACTATGTGGATCTATCGGCGCCTCAGGCGCAGACCATCAACGCGGATTTGTTGCGTGCCATTGGCAAATATTTGGATGTGAGTTCGAACTTATCAAAGATCTTTTAAGCGGCTCTCTACTCGCATTTGTCATTTGCAGACGGTCAATTGGAAGGACTCTCTGAAGATACTTAAGCTGATTGTGACACGCAGCTCTTCGCTGCAGGTGGTCCCGCCCAGCGATGGCAGCAGCGCCGGCTTATCGTTCTCCTTCTATGGCGCATATCCGGACTCGGATATGTTCTGTAAAAAGGAACTGGCCGGCCGCACCATGGAATTCACATTCGACGTATCCCAAACACCGCTGATCGGTCGCCGCATTCTGCTTAAAACTGAGGAGCCAGGCTCTGGCGGTGCTGCATCGGCCACGGGCAGCTCATCGCTAAACTCCACACTGACCAATGCCACCACCGTGACGGTTGCGCCTGCTCAGCAAGTCAGCGCCCAGCTGCAGCAGCATCGCGCCCACAGCAATGTGGCTGCCATTGCCGCCTCGGCCGTTGCCGCCCAGCAGCAACAGCAGCAGCAGCACGGCGTTGGCCTTGGCAGCGTTGTGGGCACACCCAATTCGCCGAGACGCAGCGCTAGCCTGTCGCCGGCGGATACTGTGCCGCTCAGCGGCTGGAAACGCCCCTGGATGTCGCAGTGTCGTGTGCGCGAGTGTCTGGTGAATCTATTGACCACCTGTGGACAGCGTGTCGGTCTGCCCAAGTCGCCATCGGTAAGTTTGCGGCCACAAAGACTGCGGCCAGGGGTCGACATATTTGTCAGCCTGTACATTAGCAAGGTGCATGCTTTGAGCTCCCCTAGCGCTAGCTTTTTCAGCTCCTGCTTACTAATAAGGCCATCATCTCTACAAAATTATTTATTTCTACTTCTTTTTCTTTCATGTAAAAAAATACAACTAAATTGAAACCAAATCAAACTCGAAAAAAAAAACAAACCAAACCCAATGTCAAACTAAAACTAACACGCCATTTTATCATCATTAACAACCCGAACCAAACCCAATTATAGGATGATTTTCTAAACTCTATTTGCTCAAAGGTAAAGGAACATGTTTCTCAATGCCACGTGTAGCTTTGTCTTTGTTTACGTAATTTGTTTTGGCTCGTTTCACATTTCATTTGTACTTTTTATGCATCGCTCATTGTTTCATTCCACCTATACCGTACACATGCAACAGGGACTGTTCCAGTTTTCGTATGAGAAACGTGATTGTCATTTTCACGTTCCGTTGCTTTTGCCTCTCGAAAACTGGAACAGATCCTGCTGGCATCGCTTGTTCTGTTTCGTTTCGTTTCGTTTCGTTCCGTATTTTTGACTTGTTGCATGTGTGTGTTTTGTTTCAAACTGTACCGTTTCGTTTTCTTGTTCACGTTCAGTCTTTGAGCACATCGCTACTAACGGGATCGATTGCGACCAGACAAAGCGTAAGCTTTCCAGTCTTTTTCTTAACATTAACATTTTTTATTAGATCTACTTCAGTGTTAGCCCTGCATGCCTCTTTGCTTAAGTGTTTACTAATCCCTGTTTCGCTTGCCAACATGTAGGTCATCTTTAGCCAATCTTCGGATCTCATGGAACGGCAATCATCAGCCGCCTCGTCCACCGAGGAAACATCGGGTCCGCAGGGCGATCTAAGCAGCGGTTCGCGTCGCGACGATGGCCAGCCCGACTTTACTGTCTTCAAGGACTTTGATTTTCTGGAGTACGAGGACAGCATCGCCGGCGAGTCTACGGACAACTTTAACTGGGGTGTACGTCGCCATCAGCTCTTCGAGGGCGACGAGGACCGTTTGAACCTCGGTAGCGGCATAAGTGGATCCATCAAGGGCGGCCATTCCTCTGCACTCGAAGACAGCTTCAGCGATAAGACCCCAATTCTGAGCAAACGTAAGCGACAGACCGCAGACGATTCATCCGATGAGGAAGCCGAGTCGGAGTCACCGCTGGACGACGATCACCGTCAATCTTTCTTGAAGTCCATCTTTAGCGGCGCACCGCCGTCTTCCCTGAGCCTGCGAGAGCGACGTCGCCGCAATTCCGTGTCCCGCAGTGATACCAGCGGCTCCAGTGCTGGTGATTTGGGTGATATTACGCCATGCAATGCATCGCCACACATGCAGGGCATCATTCGCTTTGGCGCCGTCGTTCGCGACGAGGCGGAGGAGAATTGGCGACGTCAGCTGCAGTCCATGCTGGTTAATCAACCCTCAGCGCACACCTCCGAGCTGCTGCAGCAGCTGTACAGGCTGATCAAGGAGTTGACCTTCAAGACAATTACCATTTCGAAGGAGGCCAAGAAATTCTTCACAGGCATCGGCTCCCAGCTGGGCAATCGCATCTCACTATTCACGGATTTGCTGAGCTCGCGTGCTGATCCGCCACGTGTCTGGTGCAGCGAGATGCAGACCACTACGCCAAAGTTGTTTGAAACTCTAAGGTTTAATGTGCTGGAGGTGCAAGAGCATCTGGAGACGTTCTTCGATCGCAAGGATCAAGTTCTAGAGGTGATTTTGCTTAGTAAATACTTTCTACTATCTGATATAATGTGAGATTCTCAATTGCAGTGCTTGGACGCAGTGAAAACATCCTGCAAACTTTCTCTGTTCAATGAAGCAGACGTTGCTGCCTCGGGCTTGGAGCTGCCCAGCAGTTCCAGCATTCCTTGCATGCCCTTCGATCCAGCCTCAACGGAGGTTGTGCTGGACTTGGGACGCTCCTTGTATAAGCTTATGTTTCAGCTACTTCTGCTGATCGAATCGAATCATAAAATATCCTCGAATGTGGTTAATCATTTTCGCATCAATGAAGACGTATGTGATACGGTCTAGTCGGGGTTTGCTGAGCTCTAACCTACTGTTTCCTTGCAGATGCATGACATATCCGATCTCTATGCCCTGGTACGAGATGCTTTGGTGCGGTGCACCAGCGAAGCTGAGCTGGATTGCCTAGAATCATCCACCTCAACGGAAGGTGAGCACACGCCGACGCCCTCGCCCGGCTTGCCCATGACGCATGAGGAGTTTGAGGCGTCACTGCACGAACACATCGACCGGCAGTGTTGGACTAGCGCCATTTCCCATGTGCGACAGTATCGACGCGTGTCCATGCTCAGCGCTGGTGATCAGAGTCTGACCATCCTTAGTTATGGAAATTTGGACAGTCGCATCAAGTTCGATGAGATGTCGATTATATTGAATGCCTATGCCCATAGCATTATGAAGGATCGGACAGGTTTGTTTTTTCTTTTAAAAATGTATATGTTTGGACAAAATTTGTAACCATTTAACTGACCAGCAGAAGCCTTTATTGTATCCAAATCGGACTCGGAGCTGTTTGAGGTATATGCGATACTCTCAGAGAACTTGTATCACGTTTCTAGCGCCCTGACCAATATGGAAATCAATATGAAAAGCTACTCCATGGGGGCCGGTTCAAGTAATTTGCATCGCAGCGAGCAGGACATTGTGACAAATCTTTAAATATAGAGAAACCCTACATATGGTTAAGATTAGTGCAGGATTAAGCTCATTTTGATATGTAATCAAACTAGTTTTTAGTATTTAAGCAGCATTATAGGGCACTATCATTCAGTTGAGTGTTGAACAAGCATTATTGTGTATGAACAAATGTGTTTTTAAGTACGATATAATTACATAGCATATACATACATAACAATCATCGCAATTATCATATATAACGCAGATACGGAAACAGCAAACAGCCCTTCGTATGACCCCTGGGGACATTGAACAATAACTTGCAATATAGGTATTTTTTCTATAATAGTATAAACATTTAATTACAAATTATTTGTATTCTCTCTGGAACATCCTACAGTAAATAGAGCAAATTTTCATCTTAGCATTTAGTCAGGTGTGTTGTACGAACTCGCTGTCAACTAGTGGAACAGATTCTTGAGCGCCTTTCGTTGCTGCTTATTGTATTCGGCTAGCAGCTGCTTGGCGCTGTTTAATTCATTTAGGATTTGTTTATTTTCCGGCAGCAGTTTATGTGCATGCTTCAGATCGTTTATGGCCTCCTCGTAGTTACGCATGGCACGCTGAGCCTGTCCTCGTCTATAAAACGCCTTGCTGCAGTTGGGATCCAAGCGAATGGCCTCGGAGCACTCGTATTTGGCATACTGATAGTTGCCCAACTTCAGTTCGACAGCCGCCATGTTGATGTTGTTCACCACGGAGAAGGCATCCAATCGCCTCAGCTCGGAGTCGTCTTGACTACGTTTAAGTTCCTGCCAGTCAAAGCTTCGGCGCAGCATCGTATAGTAACGATTCGCTTTACGGTATTTGGCACGCGCCTCATGGAAACGGCCCAGCTGAAAAAAGTGATTGCCCGACTTTCGCAGGCCCGTGAGCAGGCTAACAGCTGTTTCCACCTAACACACAAAACAACAATAAATATTTAACACCTGTCATGATGACATTGCATAATTTAACCCTACCGTGGGCTTATGGAATTTGCCCGTCCAATCCTGGGGATAGGGCGGCAGCTTGTCAGATGTCTCATCACTGCATTCGATGGCCCAATCCTCGCCAGGAGCCAGCTCGCCGCTGTCGGTTATCGTAATATCCGTCGTCGGATGGGCTTCATCATTGCAGTTCTGTTCCATTTCGGCAACGATGCCCAGACCTCGCAGTACACGGCCCACAACGACATTGCTGCCATTGAGGTTCTCACAGCCGACGGCTGTGATGAAGAACTGGGAGTTGTTTGTATTTGGCTTGCCATAGTTCGCCATGCTGACCACACCCTCCTCGTTGTGCTGCAGGTAAGAGTTCTTTATACAGTTTTACAGATATGAATGTATACCCACCGTCAGCTCAAAGTTCTCATCCTCAAACAGTGGACCATAGATGCTTTCGCCGCTGGTGCCATCGTTGTTCACCAGATCGCCTCCTTGGACCGCAAACACCCGCTTGATTGTGTGGAAACGCGTGCCCTTGTAGTGCAGCCGTTTGCCCAGCTGCCCCACGCCACGTTCGCCCGTGCATAGAGCACGGAAATTTTCCGCTGTCTTTGGCACAACATCCTTGCGCAGTTCAATTACCATGCGTCCCGCTGTGCAAATCAGTTACGAATATGTACATACGATAACGATTAACTAGGTCAAGCGCACAGATAATGAGCTGCTCCCGCTTACCGTTTTCTTCGCCAATACTGATGTCGAAGTAGACAAGGGGATTTGTTGTCTTCACCGGTTGCAGCAGTTCTTGTTTAGTTGGGCTCATTTTGGTCATCAAGGCGAAGCCTTTAGCCACCCGTTTTCAGTTTTAACTTTGGACTTGAACGATTCGAAAACAGGTAAACAAATAAAATGCGATTTATATTTTCAGAGTGCTGCCCATCTGTTGCACTTTTACAGCTAAAACAGCTGTTGGTGCTGCCAACTGCGCGCAAATGTCGCAACCGTTATTTTTTGAAAAATTTGGATGCCCATTCATTCAAAAAATTCGACCCACATACTTTAATTGTAATTATATTCTCTTGAGTTTTTTCAAACTTATAAATTCTCAATATACAATACAACATTCCTCAATATACTTGATTATTAACTAAAAAGTTATGTCCTTTCAGGTTTGAATAATGTTCAAAGAAAATTTCTATTCATTTCAATTTTTGTTGTCTAGTCAACTTCATTTGCCCTTAACTATATCGCTTAATATTTAATGTTTTCTCATACCGCCTCGTTAGGGTATTTTTTTATTTTGCCTCCTTAAGCAAGAGTTGCACAATGTTCAAACAATCAAGTAATTTGCCTAGAAGCAACCATATAATTTACAACTAATTGAGCTAGGACCTCCCACTGAAAAGTACTATAAAAGGTTGCCGTAACCAGACTCCTGTTCGCAGTTTAGGTTTTATCGTGCAGAATGCTGAACATATTTGATCGGGAACTGGAGAGTATTGATTATTTGCCCAAGCCTGGCTTAACTTGGGTGGAGTACAGCGCCTACGCATTGGGTATTAACATGGCGCCCAGGAAACGCAACTCTAGGCCCTGCAGATTGTGAGTTTTCTATAAAATTAGACACATTGCAATTCTAACTATGCATTTTTTCTTCTAGCTTACGCATTTTTGCACTTCTTGTAAATCTGAGCATTATCTACAGTCTCATTAAATTTATAATGGCCACTTATATGGTCTCCTTTGAAGCCTATGTAGAGGTTTGCTTTAAGTGCGATTTGTACGTTTTTTTATTATACATAAATTGGTCTCTTTTCAGGCTGTGCTACTTACCTTTCAGCTATCAGTTGGAATGGTCAAAATGATGCATTTTCACAGCTTTCTGGATTCTTGTGTGGAGCTGGTACGCACCACAGAGACGGGTGCTATATTAAAGCATTTGGGCCTGTTTGATTTGGGTAAGGGAAGGGCACTTTTATGTTGCTTGTATATCTCATAGATTGTTTTTTCAGATTTGACGAACCCTCATGCGTTGTGCAAGAAATTGGGCTCTATGTTGAGAAGGAGCTGGCTGGTGATCGATCGTCAGGTGATGTTCTTCTACAAGATCGTTTGCATGCCAGTCCTGTATTATTGCTTGCGGCCATATTTCCAATACATATACGATTGTTATATGGTCCAGGATACTTGTGAAATGACTTTGAGTAAGTGAACAAACAAAAACGGTAGGCTTTTGGCTCATAAGCAATTTACTCTATGTAGCCTATCCAGCTATCGTGCCCTTTGTGCACCTGGGTAAACATGAATTCCCCTCATTCTCAGTGCGTTTCATTCTCCTTCAATCTGGTCCGGTTTGGTGCTTTTTTGGTAGGTCTTGATTTACGTTTCATATGTTTAAGTGTCTTATTTAACTTTCAACAGCTGTCTTTGGCTTCAACAGCCTCTTTGTGGTGCTTACCAACCATGAGGCTTGTCTTATAGAGGTCTTACGATATCTGGTCCAAAATTCCACAAATAATGCTGTGGTTCCGAAATCCTCCAGGGTTTTTTACATTCGCTGTTGTGCCAGACTTTTTGCCCGCATCTCGAGGTAAGACGTTTACTAAATTGTTTGTGTGGAGATTTTTAAAGTTCTCTTCCACAGACATCATGCTCAAATTGAAAATGTTTTTAAGTATATAATCCTAGTCCAATGCGTGATAAGCAGCATTTTGATATGCATGTTGCTCTATAAGATCAGCACTGTGATGGTGGGTAATCTGAAGATCCCTAACTTTATATAGAATTTGCTTTATTTTATTTCGATTTTGTATATTTTAGGAAATAGGCTGGGTCTGGATGGGCATGATTATGGTTTACTTGGTAACAATTACTTTGGAAATCAGCCTATATAATGTCAATGCGCAAAAGGTCGAGTCTCAGGTAATGTAATCCCTTGAACATATCTTTATATATTTTATAGAGCGAATTATTGTTTTTCGACTGGTACAATTGCGCCTGGTATAACGAATCTGAGGATTTTAAATTAATCATTAAACTAATGCTGCTTTTCTCAAGGCGAACTTTTGTTCTAAGCGTTGGAGGTTTTACCAATTTATCCCATAAATTTTTAGTACAGGTTAGTTTAGAAGACGCTCGTACAAAGAAATCTTAAATTCTGCTCATCAACTAAGTGATTTGGTTTTATCTCTACATTTAACTTATCCTCTCAATCCTTGGCAGGTTTTTCGCATGAGCGGAAATTTCTTTTTGCTATTGCGCAATATGAATAACAAATAATGCTCTACACGTACTTTATACAAAATTACAACGTTGGAAAACATTTATTTTAAGGTGAAATTCATTAGGCGACTTAAACACGAAAAAAATATTGTAATTGGCACATTAAACGTAGTTGACAAATATGTTAATAATGTATAGATTGCAATATGGAATAACCATATGGGGGAGATATAGAAATGCAATTGATTTGGAGTTGTACACGGCACAGTTTTCAATATATAGTAGTATAATACAGTCGTCCATGGCTGGCTTGAATTTAAAGCACAATTGGCAGTTAAGAAATTTGTTGCATCACATTATTTTGTTAATATATGAACGATGCTTTAAAGCTTAACGTCTCTCAATGTTTTTTGTTCATTTCTTGGTTTTTGTTTTTGTTTTTGTTTTCTGGTTTTCGTTTATCGTTTTTTTCACTAAACAAAATATTTCTGCTAAAAGACTAAAATTACATAATTTCATTCAACGGCTACGGCTAATTCCGATTTGTTCGTATTCGCCTCGTACTTAGATGTTAATTGAAGTAGTCGGTAGTTGGTAGTGCACTTAGTTAGGGTATGTATGTCTAGGGCTCCAGGCGATTGCGCCTAAAGCAACCACTTGGCAGTGCTTCAGATATTAAACGTATATTATCCACCTCACCGGATAAATCGGCCAACTCTGCTTCGTATTTGTCAATTAATTTCTTTTGGATATTGCGCTGTTCTCGGTACTTCTCAATGCGCCCAGTTAGATTCACTCGATTGATGTCGCTCTCCACGACAGTGAGGCGATTTTCTGAATGAAAGTTGTTATTAACAAAAGGGTTCGCTTTTAAGAGATTGCACTTGCTTACCCAATTTATCCAAATCATCTGTGTTGATGTCCCTCAAGTTCTCCAGCTCGTCCTTGATCGCTGTCAGCTCTGCGTTGGCCTTTTCAATTTGTTTTTGTGCCTCCTGCGTGTCAGCCTTGGCCTGACCCACCTTGCGCTTGGCATCATCCACGAGATTGTCATCTTTGGTTGAATTATCCTCCAGATTGAAGATATTCATTTCAGTCAGCTTCACGCGATGATTCAGCTGGTCAGCCTCGTCGCGTAGCTTGCGGGCAGCGACCTTGGTCTCATTTGCCGTGCGGCGGATCAGTTCGGCATCCTAGAAGTAAATATCTGTTTAGTAGAGGGCATGGTAAGGATCTAGGCATGTCTTACCTTAGAGGCCTGTTCGGCATACTTCTCTTGCGCTTCCTGGGCATTGCTCTTGGCCTCATTGGCATTCTTGTTGGCACCCTCTAGAGCCTCACCAGCTTGGCGAATCAGATTGCCAGCATTCTCAATTTCCATCTCGATGCTGGGCACCGTTTGCAATGCTAAGGCAGCCTTCTCCGAAGATCTCTGCACATCCGACTGAAAGCCGGCCAGAGTGTTGTAGGTATCGTTGGCTTCCTTGAGTGTACTGTCGCCCTGCTGTACCGCCTTGGTGGCGCGTTCGTGGGCAGCCTTGGCGCGCTCCAAGAGCTCGATGTCATCCTTCTTTTGTGCATCGGCGCTGGGTAGTAAAATTTTGAGTTTGGCTAAGTGCAAAACGCACCGGCTATGACTTACCGTTCGAGAAGTACCTGGGCAAAACTACTTTCTGCCTCAAAATCGGCAAAGACCTCGCCATTGCTGTTGGATAACTCGTTGATCTGCTTGAGCAGGTCATCGGCGCGCTCATTGGCGGACACGGCCTCCTTCTTCAGCTTGTTGATGTCAATGTCCGGCTGGGTTTGTCGGTTCACATCGTTGAGCAGCGTGAGGGCCGCATCGTACACCTCGTTGGCCTTGCGCAGCGCCTCCTTCGAGGTTTGGACGACAGTGCCCAGGGATTGCTTGACCTGATTCAGTTCGAGGCGCACTTCAGAGCGAAGCTCAACGCCGACCTTTTGCTGCAAGTCGATGGCATTCTTGGCCAGCAGATGGGCCTTCTCAACAGCATCTTTGGCGTCCTTGGCGTTCTTTAGATCGAACTGCGCCTCCGACTCGAGGCGATCGGCAAGAGCACGTGCCTCGCGTGAAATGTCCGATATCTGCTCGGACTGTTCGCCAAACTCCACGGACTTGTTCTGGGCCTTGGCCAAGGCCTGCGCACCCTCATCATTGAGCAGATCCAATGCCTCCTGCAGCTCCTTTTTGGCATCATCGATGATCTTGTGCAGCTGCGTGTAATTGCTGCGTGCCTTGGCGATTTCCGCGTTGGCATCCTGCTGAAGTGCATCGGCACTTACCAAATGACTGCGCATGCTATCCAGGCGCTTGTGCAGATCGTTGATGACCTCAACATAAGTTTGGCCGCCTTCGCCAGAACCGGAGCGCGCATCCTGTGCCAAAATGGCCACCTTCTCCTGCACTGCCTTCAACTTGCCCTCGAACTCCTCATCGTTGGTCACTGGCGTGCGTGCGATCTCGTCCAGAGTAGAGCTCAAATTGGCTAGCTTGGCGCGATGCAAATTGGCCGCCTCCTGCACCAGATTGTAACAATCCGGACAGTCCACACAGCCACGATGGCGATCGTATTTGTTCTCCTTGCAGCGATCGCAGCGACGTCCCTCCACATTGTCATTACATGGACACTGGCCATTCTGATCGCACTGGAAGCCCTTGGAGCCGCTCTCGTCGCACTCGCACGGCTTGCAGCCCTCCACAGAGAAGCCAAAGAAGTAGTTGGCGCACTGGTCACAGCGCACGCCCACGACGCCCGGCTTGCAGTGGCACTGGCCCGTATACCTGTCGCATGTGGAATTGTAGCTGCCGACAGGATCGCACAGACAGTTCTCGCAGCCATTGCCGGATCGTATATTAAAGTAGCCGGGCTGACACTCGCCGCAGTCGCGTCCAATCACATTAGGCTTGCACTGGCACTGGCCAGTGACCTGGTCGCAGCGCGAGATGCTCTGCTCGTCCTGCTCGGTACCGGCGGCATAGCAGCTACAGCGATCGCACTTGCCGTGGGGCAGGGCCAGCGGATCACCAAAGTGTCCGGGCAAGCATTGGTCACAGTGTTCGCCAGCTGTGTTATGGATGCACTTCAAGCACTCGCCGCTGGTGCGATTGCAGTTGCCCACCGCATTGGGATCGACATTGCCATTGCAGTCGCAGCTCTTGCAGGTCTGCACCTCGCCGAGCAGGCCAGTGGGATCTCCATAGAAGCCGTCGCTACACTGTTCGCAGCGGGAGCCAAAGTAGCCCACGGGGCATTCTGTGCAGATGACCGTGTCGCCGTTAATTTGCAGGCAGGCACCATCGTTGGGGCAGGGACAGCGCTTGCAGTCATAGGGTGTGCCGCCCAAGGCGTTGCCATAGTAGCCCTTAGCGCACTGGTCACAGTTATCGCCCTGTGTGTTGTGCTGGCAGATGCAGCTGCCCGTTTCCGAATCACAGATATCCGCATGGCCATGACAGTCGCAAGGTATGCAGGGCATAAAGGGTCCGCCACGTGCCGGACTGTGGCGATAGCGTGGCGCGCAGGACTCGCAGAACTGGCCCAGATAGCCCTCGGGGCAGGTGCACTGCTCAATCCAGGTTGCCGGTTGCCCGGCAGCGCCCCTGTGCGCCGTTTGCAGCTCCACATCGTCCAGATTGGCCTCGCCCTGCACGGAATAGGTGGCCCTGATCTTTATAGCCGTCAGATTGGATAGTATCGAGAGAAAGCCTCGCGCCGACTGGCTGGGCTGCCACTGATAGTCGTGATGTTCATGCAAACGGAAAGTGTACTCCTTGACACCCTGGTCCGGTATGCCGTTGCCCTGGGCAAAAATGGGTAGTGAGATTTTGCTGCCGGCGCCTTCAAGGATGACATCGCTGGCACTGCTGCTGGGTCCCACCTGACCCACGAGCTGCAGCTTGAACTTAAGGTCGCGATTGTAGGAGGCACGCTGATCGCCCAGGAAGCGATCCGGCGCCTGGAAATATACGTATTCATTGCCCTGAGCTGTGGTGCCAATGCTGCGACTATACTGATTGTATTTGATATCCACGTCACGGCGATTCAGATCAATTGCTGTCCAGCGTTCCTTGTGCTTGTTGAAGCTGGAGGTGACGGAGACAATGGAGTAGCCGGGTGCGGTCTGGCACTCGGAGGTGTGGCCATAACAGAAACAGGGCGTGCAACCAAAGCGATTGCTCTTATCCAGATTGAAGAAGCCCGGCTTGCATCTGCCAAGTGTAGAGATTAGAGAGCTGAGTTGGACTTACTTCGCCACGTCTACTTACTCGTTGCAGCGCCTGCCCTCGACGTTCTCCTTGCAGAAGCAAATGCCGCTCTCGGCATCGCAGGCTGGCGTATTGTCATGGGAGCCGCGCGGATCGCAGCCACATGGCTGGCATCCATGGGGCCCGAACTGGAAGTAGTTGTTGGCGCATCGATCGCACTTGTCGCCTGTCACACCGGGCTTGCACTGGCACTTGCCCTGGCTGTTGCACTGCAGCGAACGGGAGCCGACGGGATCGCAGCCACAGTTGATGCAGTAGGCGTTGTCGCGCATATAGAAGTTCTCCTTGCAGCGCTCGCAGTTGGGTCCATCACGATTGTCGCGACAATCCAGGCAGTGGCCGCCGTGACCCGTCTGATTGAATAGATTCGCATCGAAGTAGCATTTGTCCGCAAACCCGTTGCAGTTGCAAGCTGTAAGTAGACAAATTGCATGTTGAAAGTTGGGTTTCTTTTTGTCATACTTGCGAGGGTGCTTTACAGTTGATGAGGTACCAGTGTGCATCGGCGCTGGCGCCTATCAGATTAGTTTCCAGGGCATGGTCATAGGACCAGCCGTACGCTTGGGTATGGGCCACGAGGCAGCCAAGTTGCAACCACAGCCTCAACATGACTGACAATTGGTCAGCATCAGTTGCAAGCTGTGGCAGTTGTGCCAGCTAACGGCAAAGCAGTTTGTCCTTATATAGGAGGTAAGGCACAGTGAGGCGAATGTTATGGAATACGGAACTGAGAAAGTCTGCCAAGCGAATGCCTGACCTAATTTAAAATCGGACCTGGGGCGAATTGACGGACCTGGGCTTATAGACCTTTGCCCACTGTGCACACTGTAACCAGTTTAAGCGGTGGTTCTGTTTGCCTACCTTTGCACTCGTTCACTTCGGTTGAGGTTGCCCTCTTCCACTTGACGTCATTGTAGAGCGGCAAGCAGCGATCACAGTCGGGCCCGTCTGTATTATGGCGACACTCGCAGACCAGTGTACGCTCCCCATGCATTCCAGTGCTGGCCACACACTTGCTGGCATGTCCGTTGCACTTGCAGCGCGCACCCACCGCAATATCGCTGATGGCATAGAAGTAGGACTTCAGTACTTGGGAATCGCCGAACAGCTCGTCACCGAAGGTATTTAGGCGATCCAGTGTGATGCGAATGTCGGTGGCTGTTACCCACTCCTGCAGCTCCGCACTGCGCTCAAAATTGATGCCGCTCGGGCGACCCTCGAGCGTGGAGAAGGCAATTTCACCGTCACGCAGCGGAGAGATGTCGCTGTATTCGCTGGTGCAGAGGGCGTGAGCCTCGCCCTCGCCCTTGCGAATAGCACGCGAATCGGGCAGATAGTAGGTGTCCCGACAGGCGGCACTGTAGAACTGGTAGGGTATCCAGGGGCCGTTCTCCGAGGTGCGTTTGTAAATCGTAAAGGACTCGGGACGTGGCGAACGGAAGAGAATGCGCACGTAAGTTATGTCGTAGGATTTACCTAGAATTGAAAAAAAAAACAGATTAACACATGTGAATGTTACTTTGGCTTTGTCGCCTATTGGACTTACGCAAATGCAGCGTTAGATTCACATGGTTGGGATGTTGTATGCCCTCCAGCATTGTCTCCGATTGCCACCAGGTGGGATTCTGTGGATCATGCAAGTCCGTCAAGTATGTGGGCTTGTGGTCTTCATATCTAAGCGAAAAAATAGAAGATTTATCATGTGGTTGTTGTTGCTCTATGAGGGTCAAATTTGTAATTTACCTGCAGAAGGCGCAGTTTTTGTGATTCGGATTCATGGTCTGCATACAGAAGTGATTATCCCCCTGCTCACCGCAGGTATTCGTCGATTCGATTTGCAATTGGTAGGCAGCATTTATAAATTCGGGCAAGCATTTCTAAATGGGGTTGCGAGAAATATGATAAAACAAATTTGTAGGCTGTGAAACAAGACTGTTTAAGACCAATCAAATGACTGTCGTTTTGGAGAGCAATAGGAAATTTAGGCTAGCCCTGTTTCTCTAAATTTCTAAATTTAAAAAAAGCTTGAAGAGGCGGCGTAGAGCGCGACAGTTTTGGGCAGTTTATGCCCAACCAAATATTCTTGATTGTTCAATTAGTTTGTATGTCCACATTTAAATTAACGTCTAGCAGATCTATTGACCCCTCAGCAGTAGAGCGTGCCACATTTATTTCACTAAATTGGCTTGCCTGACTGTCAACTATTTAACTATGCTTTGTTAAATGGGAATTTCCACCCACTTTCTCGAAAACTCAATAGACTTACCTGCGGTCGGCCATACGGATCGTAGCACTCCAGGGCCGGCATAAATGTGGTGCCGCGCAGCTCGTGTCCGCCGGCGGAGTTGATGGGCTGGCGTTGTACGCCAAGTGTAGCCGTCGCACAGCTGCAGAGCAGCGCTCCGGCGAGCAGCAGACGCGCCGCGGAGAAGCCTTCGCTGAGACTCCGCCTGTTGCGCCTCATCGTTGGCCTTGGTTGTCGACTGGTATCCGTGCTTTACAGACTAATTATTTCACTAGGATATAGGTTTTTTGAACACTTATGCGAGTACTTCCAGTATTTTGGGTGGGCGTTTTTGATGGGTATTTGTTGTTTTTTTTTTGTTCACTGTCACAGTTTAAAGCATAATTGCACTTGAGTTAAAAGGCATCAGTGACTCAACGAGATGGTGGCTGGTTCTGGAGCGGCTTCACTCGCTGCAATATGCATAAGATATTCGATTAGCTAATGCCTCCAGATATACATACTATGTGTATATATAATAATAATTTTCGGCTAGAAATGTCCAAAAAACAAAACCATCTGTTGCACATATTGTGTGAGCTATATAAAAAGCGTTGCCGCTGCTTGGTTTTAATTAGTTCGTTCGCCGGTCCAAAAAACAAACTTTGCTGTCCGGTCAGTCAATAAGTTGCCCGATCTGTGTGTGTGTTAGTTCATTAAAGCCTTCCCCAGCAACCGCATGGGGCCGGGTTCTTTCAGTACTTTTGTGTAAACAAAACAAAACAAAAGCCAAAAACTGCAAATGAAAATTTCAAATAACAACAAAAGCAACCAGCAAAGACATAAATAAACACTCATTCAAACACACACACACACATATATAGTTGTATTACGAGCTGGAAATGAACTCAGGCATTGCCCACAAAATTTGTATTTCCGACTATGTGTATGCAGTACGTCCCTCCAATCCAGCAGTAGCACCAACAATGCCCCCCAACTTGGTCTAGCCTCTGTATGAAACTTGAAATAATTCCAAACGATGATTTCATCTTCATTTACTCCGCCCATACACACCACATATATGTATCTAGATACATATCGCATGTATCTGGATAAAGAAAAGTTTGCAATTATTTAACGCAACAAAAAATGTGCAGGCTATTAAAGAACTTGTTAAAGGAATATTTGGATGCACTCGTCTTATTCTTAGCCAAGGTTAGATTCATTTAAACAGCGCATCTCTCAGATACTTGAGCTTGTGCCTAAGTATATTTTTGTGTACCGCTAATTAGCAAATATGCACAGCAAATTGAGTCTATTTACTTAGTGGAGATTTCAGATGATATCATTTAATATTTATAGTGAGACTCTTTTTGGAAATAGCTAGGTTAGGACCGTAAGATTGTTGTATAAAGCAAACTTGGCTGAATACTCGCATCTGCCTGATTCGATAGAGTAGGAAAGAAATATTTAAAACGTGGAATGGGACTTACAAGAATTTACCAGTTATAATGAGTCAGAAGCGGAAAAAGGCAGCATAAGCATGTGGACAATAGTAAGATTATTCTTTTCAATAGAATATGAAGGGTATAAAAAAAAGGCTTTTTATATATATTATGTGAAATGAAATATTCCAGGTTTATAGAGTTCTAGGCGTCCTCTAAATTTTGCTCTAGGGACATTATTTGAATTCTTGATTAAATATGACAATAGAAATATGTTCAGCTTCTTTCGCATATAATCCAAAGAAAGATGCTTCGTTTTCTCATTTCTCACTCATTTCTTGTATCAGTTCCAGGAATACTTTCATGTCTTTCTAACTCTATGAAGATCGTAAGAGAAACATATACAATTATAGAAACCTATTTTAAATCTTTCGCGAATCTATCTTGATCCATAGAAAGGCCATAATTATTCATCGAAAATGAAGAATAAATTGAATAATAATACTTTTAAAACATCTCCACTCAATCATTTTGCCAATCATTAATCAATATCTCCTTTATAACTCTTTCTGCTTGTATTCCATTGATACAATTTTACTCAGCACACGATTTCGTAACACAGTCTTCTAGATTTTAACACAACTGTTGATTGTTTGCACAAAATTTGTAATTCATTTTTATCAGTTCTTAATAATAGCTTAGGGAGTGTGCACCCCTCGGGAAGAACACTGTTGAGCTCGTTGTAGTCGTCATACAGATTTATGTTGTGGCTTATCAGTAGAGTCTCACATTTTTTTTTTTTTTTTTGAAAAAAAAAACACAAAAACTGTTCAATTTCGAAACCGAATTAAGCACAAGAAAATCTCGAAGACTGTCGCCGGGGCAACATTTGATACACTTGTGAGGCCAAGTGAGTGTGCGAGTGTCAGTGTGTGAGTGTGTGTGTTTGCGTGTGTGTGCGGTCGGGTGTGTGGAACCCTTTGGGAATGAGTTCAGCTGAGGCCAAGTCTCAAATACAAGCACTGTTTATGCTGTTGCTGTCATACAGAGATATTCTATATACTTATATACATATAGCACGAATGAACATCCGCTCCATTCAGATTTGAATTGTTGAGCTGCTGCTGCGGCTGGGGCTGGAAGAGCTGCTGCCTGTTGCGATACGCGCCTATGAACACGAGTTCCTTTTGCGATAAGAATTTGGGGCTACGAACTAGTGCGATATGGTGGCATGAACTGAATGGAATTGAGATTCAGTTTGAGACTGAGACCGAGGCACATAACACAAAACAACACACTCGGCGAGCGGATCGCAGTTTGTGGTTGTTTTGAAACGGCGCTTTTTGTTTGCACCTTTTGGTATTTATCTTTATTGAAGCGTTTGTTTTTATCAACTGCTTCACGACACACACGCTCACGCACACTCGCACAAACGCACACCAGCTCAGGTAGAGGAAAAGCAACACGAATTCACTCAAAACTGCACACTTGGGTCTACGCGCTCAGATACTTTTACGAAACTTGGTTTTTGTTGTTGTTGTATATATCTTTTTTGTTTTTGGTTGTATCTCAGCGCTGCACAGGGCAAGCAGAGCAACAACAAATACTGCGTTATTTTCGTTTATTTATGGCTAGATACTTTATTTTTTTGTCTGACTTCTAACACATGCTGCATTTGGTTGATATTTTCATTTTTTTTTTTTCGGGGGGGGCTTTTCCAAAAAGATTGTTGTTTCGTTTATAAATAGTTTGCATGTTGCATGGAAAATCTTATGCAGTTGCATTCACATGTGCTTAAATGCATTTGTCATCGCATTTGCTTTCATTTCGAGTTTATTTTGTGTATTTGGCACCCAACTTCTCGCTTTTCTGCTGACTTGGTAATTGTACGAATTTTGTAGTTGCTTTGTTTCATTATTAAGTACATTTTATCGGGGTTTCTTTTCATTAAATTTTTTTTTATGTTTGACTTGTTGTAATTGTATCACTACACTGAAGGCAAGAACCTTTTGAGTAAACAGTTCGTCATACGCCGTCTGCCACACACACACACACACACACACACACACGCACACACGCACATACACACAAGCACACAAACACACATCCACATGCACCAACACACGACAAGATACTTTTTTATCTTGAGGTTTTCTTTTTATTGCTGGCAGCGCCTGCCGCCACGGCCAAAGCAAACAAAAAAAAAACCCACGATACACAGCGCGAGACAGCCGAAAAATGTATTAAAAAAACGGAAGAGTTCCAGAAGAAAAGTTAAGACTCCTCCGCACACAGCACACAACACTCTACACACAGCACCACTGAACAGTTCGGCGGCAACGTTGTCGCACTTACTCCGCACAGAACACCACAGGCAACCGCTAACGAGGACGTCCAATGCTCAACTGACTCTTGAGGAATGCGGCGCAACCGCTCAGCGGCTCTCGTTGAGTGAAACTCTATGCTCTGCTCTGCTCTGTTCAGCTCGTATCTGTATCTGTATCTGTGCCTGTATCTGTATCTGTGAGTAGCTGTGCGATCGTTGCTGCTGCTGCGGCGCATGGGCACTCGCGGAGCTTCTTGGCTGGCTGGCTGGGCTTAGCTTAGTCGGGCAACTATGTTGTTGAAATTGGAGAGCGAACGTTTCGCAGATTTGTGAATTGATGTTTAATTGTAATATTCCTCCTCTTTCGTCAGGTCTGAAGTTTCAAGCAAAATTCGTGAAGTGCACAATTTTGTTGGTCTTGGCAAATATTTGATAACTAGATATGAGCGAATAATAGACATACATATATGCATGAGATCTGCATGTGACTGCTAGACCAAATTCCCGGCATTATCGGAGGCTGTGCTCTCCGCTCTACTTTTGGACTTATGTAGTTGCTTACAGAGCTAGCAGGTTATCGCTGGACAACTGATAAGAGTTCGTTCTACAAAAAAGCAAGAGCACTTTCTGTTTCATTGACTAAATTCATTTCTAAAAATATATGGCCCTAAAAGAGGAAGTGAAATTTATTGTCTGAGCAGTTATTGAATGAAAATCTATATAAACTAAATATATACGTTTATATGAACTTTGACTTTATATGGCAGTCTAGGCACCTAACAAGTATGTGTCTGTCAGTCTGCATAGTTCTATATTCATTAATTAATCTTCCACGTTTACTTTTATAATTTTATATTTAAATTATGATGTAAAATAATTTACTCTAACGGCTCAATTTATCTTAACCTCTGGTTCGTGTCTGAAATTAAGCTCTTGTCCAGCCTACTTTGAGACTGCCTGCTATGTTATCGCATAGCCTCACCAGTGGCTGAATGCTATGCAACTCGTGGCGCCTGTTATTTAAATCTCGGAATTTCAAATTTTGTGTTCTTTTAGTCTTGGACTATACCAAGATATAATGAGTTTATTGTTTATATTTCTTATGAATGAATTTCATTGGTAAATTAATTGTTATTCACTAAATTCAAGGAAAGCAAACTATTTTATTCAATGTTATTCGGGTAGACAGATAGAGATTGGCTAACAAGTTGTTGATAACAAGTTTAAGCTAAATTGTGAGTAGACTAAACAATTTTTTGCTGGTTAAGAAGACAATCTGGCGTTTGGGGCATACTGTTAAGTTCTGGAATTACTTTTGCTGCTCATCTTCATCCTCGATATTGATCTTTATGATGTTGACAGCGGGACCTGGTGGATCGCTGCGCTCAGGTAATCCATTTACGGCGACTGCTGGAGCAGCTGCTGCAGTGTCCGGCTCCACGATGCACTCATCGCTGCCCGTAGTACTGATGGTAATCGTGGGTATATTATCTGACCAAATGGAACTTTGGGAGTCCTCTCTCATGGCGCGTCGCCGCTGGGAAGCACTGCGTTTGGGGAAGGTAATAGGTCCCGGCATATCCAATTCCTCCAAATCATCCATGGTGGCTAATGTGGGCGTAGAGCTTGAGGCAGCGGCTGCAACAGATGGCATTGGTGGCTTGACTGTTGGCCGATGTGATGCGGAGGATGTGCTGCTGCCAAAGTGTAGCGGAGCGCTTGGTGTAGGCGAATCCGGCTCCGGTGTAGGTGGCATCTCCAGTGCTGTGGCGCTCGAATTGCTCGATAATAGCGACGGTGGCGGCGGTGGTGTGTATGCCAAATAGGTAGGAGTGGTTGGACCCGGCGACTCATCGGAACCTTGCTCGACATCTTCCTTCTTTATGTTGACAGCCTCACGGACTAGGGCCAACAGGGAACCAATCTTTTTGCGTCCTTGACGCGACAGCGCCGCCAACTTCTCGGCATTCACCTGGCGCTGGCTATGTGTCTGGCTGGGCGTCGGCGAAGGCAGTGCCTGCGATTCACTGCCGCTGGCCAGTTCGGTGTTTAGGTGATCGGAACTGGGCACTTGTGGTATTTCGCCTGATTTGTTCTTCTCTAGACTCTTGTCATCAAACTTGAATACCTCCGGCTCCTGCTTGGCACCCACAATATTTGCCTTTGACCTGTATTTGCGGAATTTGAATTTGCCCAGGCCTTTGCCGTCCACATGACCGCTCTCTTTGGGCAGTTGCGGCAATTCCTTGAGTGTCTTTTCTTGCTCTTCTTCTTCAGGTTCTGGTGGCTTTTTCTCGTCTACGATGTGAAATTGACTCTCGGGTGTTCGTCGATCCGCAGTCCTAACTGTCGACGGCTGTGGTTCCGGATCCGGATCCGGCGTTGTTGGCTTGGATTGCTCCTCCTTGTCCCGTTTGCGCCGCAGTAAACTGGCGCGACGTTCGCTGACAATTCGAGAGTTTGTCTCCGGATCATGTTCGCCGTCCTTGGGTAACGGCGATTCGGTGTGAGCCAGCTGCTTGTGCCTGTCCCTTTTATCCCGAAAGCTTTCCCTTTCCTTTTTCTCTACTTTGAATCGGCTCTTGGGATGGGGTTCCTTTATGGGGAAGTGGTCACCGCCACCGGCTGTGCCCGGACTGCTACCTCCACCAGCCAGTGCGGCATTGGCTGCGGCAATGGAACTTGAACGCGCCCGCTCCTGCTTGGCAATCTGCACGATGTCCACAAGCGACGGTTTTCGGGTGCGTCGTATCTGCTGCAGGCGTGAAAGCCCAAATCGCTTCTCCTTAGGCTCCTCATCGTGCGGCAGCGAATCCTGATGCTCAGTGTCCGTGTCATCATCATCGCGACGCACAAAGGAGTCTTCATCCGAGGTGGCCGAGCCCTTGCGCAGTGCCTTCTTCATGATGCGTGAGATGAGCTCTGAAAAAGCGCGAAGGTGGGGAAAGGGAATTATAGAATGTACTGCGGAATTTTCGATAGACGCTCACCTTTCCTTGCCTGATTCTTGTACTCTTCAGTGTCAAAATCTGGCGGCTGTGTGGGCGTGACTGGGGATGATGCCTCAAGTACCTTGCGCCAACGATTTGTCAGAGTTGTGGCCGTTGGTTCCGCCTGCTTAACCTCTGGTACTTTGAAAATCTTTTTGCGCTCCTCCTCCCGCTCTTTCTGCAGTTGTGTGCGCAGATCTTGATTAGCCTCGCGGAGCGCGCCCGTCAGCGATATAAGATAATAGATGATGAGTATGAGGAGAAGCAGCAGAGGTATAACAGTGCTCGAGGATGTCAGATAGTCCAGGGGCTCATGGAGTTGCCTGCGGTGAGGGGGGCAGAATTATAAGCTATGATTGGATAACATTCATAATATTGGTACTTACTTTGGCAACGCGTTGCGTGTGGTATTTGTAATGAATTCGGCAATTCGATTGTATTCCGAAAACGGGCCACAATGCCAGGAGGGACGCAGCCAGACAATGGCATAGCCCACGGGCAGCACACAGAGAAACAGCATGGTCAGCAGCAGCGACAAATAGAAATTGTTGGACTTGGAAGCTCTACAAGCATGTTTGTTGATTAGGTGAAACAATTGATTGAGGTTAAGCATAGGACAATGGGATACTCACTTGAATACCACCTCGTGCGGCACATTGCATGTGAGCACTATCCATGACCTAAAGTACATCATAATCATCAATTTGACAAGGTTGATGAGCACCAGACCCGGCGAGAAGAATATGCCCATCCACACTTGTCCCTGGTTATTAATCAACGTCAGGATGTTCTCGGCTATCTTAAAGTCGCCATACTGCATGTCAGGCGCCACAAAAACAAAGCGTCCCATTAGTCACCAAGTTAAGAGTTGAGAGTTGCATAGAAGGATTATGAATGGTAGCTGGTAGGAGGCGTCTATCTCTTACCTGCGGAAACGTTTTCTCCATGTCCCAGCACCAGTTTTGATTGACATAGCGCACAAATAGGGCACGCAAGAAGTCGATGCACAGCGGCGCCACAATGGACATAAGCTGCAAGGGCCAGCGTGAGGTGGTGAGAGGATTATAGGGGGGTTAAGAGCATTTTGTAATGAAGTACTGGTCACTGCTTAAAACCCGCCACACGTAGCACATCCTCTGCATTGTCTCGTCTTTGTTCGTTTTGTCCCTTCCTTTTCTGTGCCGGCTGCAGTTAAAGCCATGTTTATGGCTGATTTGGCTGGCCCCAAACTATCTGACCAAAAACCCATTCATTTTCCAACCGAAATTCATGCACGAACACGTGCCCAGCTTCCAGCCAAAAACCGCACATGGCCCAAAAACCCAATTTGGCCTTAACGAACGCACTGCTGCAAAATTTGTTATGCATAAGGCATAAATGCGCTTAACTGAAGCCCTGTAACATGCTTAATTTATGTTCCCAAATCGTTTAATAGAGATTATGTACGCCATGTCGAGTTGACAATAACAACAATAAGAATCTCTACATAATCAAATCGTGTGTCCTTTTTTTTGTGTCTGTTCTTTGGCTGCCTCGTCCTAAGCTGTTTACAGGCTCGGCAGCAACAGCCAAAAAAGTAGGCCCAAAGTGCCGACCGGCTGACCCTGAAAAGTTGCTCGTAGATCCCAATGAATTTGCTGGCGATTAGCCTTGAAGTTCAAAATCAAATCCTTGGCCAATCGACACTCGTTCAACAAAAGAAAAACTTTGGCAAATCGATGCCAAAAGTTCAAAAATGTTTCTTATGCAAATTGCTATTGATATAAATTTGGCCCAGACAACGGATGCCAGCTGTGTGCTGTGGCCAAAAGACTCCAGAGAGCGATTAGTATGATAAAATGCTTTGGTTACACTGTTCCCAATGGCATAATGGGTATTTATATGCCCTATGCGTTTGTCTGTCTGCGAAAATATTCATGTCGCTTTTAATAGTAAGCCTAGCGAATTTTAGTTTTCAGGTGCTATTTATAAGAAGTTCCTTATTAAAGTGCGAACAGAGTATTTTACAGTCGGGAGCTTTCAATAATTTTACATATTTATTTTTCGACTTGCTCTGTTTTTATTTTCTTGCGGCGTTTGTTGCTTTTTGCCCCCGCTTCAGACTCTGCCAAAAATTTGATTTTT